TTTGGCACCTCATTTCCATTGGGATTTATAAATAATTCTTATTTTATTGTAATGGGAATTAATAAATATATCATGAATATCCTCAAAAAATATTATATTTCTGGGATAATTTGATATTTTGTCACAAGGTCAACGGTTCTTTTCCATAATTTCAATTTACGGACCATCTTTGCCGTAATATTACATATATCAGCATTTCGATATATATATCGCCATTACCAAATTTTGATATACTTTATAAACATTGGATTTTAATTAGACAGACTATCTGATAATATATTTTTATAGGGATTCCAGCAACTATCTAGTCTACCAATATGGGCCAATACCTTTGAATTACCTCGCTGGACACGGCGCACTATCTTTATAAATTAATATTTGAAATAATTTCAAATTCATATTATATATTTAATTTCTCTGTATAGCATAAAAAATATTTATTGGAATATAACAAAAAAATATAATATAATATAAAATATATTTACCAAAATATAATATAAATATATGATAAAATATAATATATATTTATCGAAATATAACAAAAATATATAATCTAATATGAAATATATTTATTGATATATAAGAAAAATATATAATCTAATATGAAATCTAATTACCACAATACAATAAAAATATATAATATAAGATAAAATATAATATTAAAAAAAATAAATAATATAATGTAAATATTATTTACCGAAATATAATAAAATTATATAATCTAATATGAAATATATTTACCAATATATAAGAAAAAAATATAATAAAATATAAATTATAAAATATCCTAAATATATATATTCTAGCATGACATATATTTATCGAAAAAAATCGATAATGTAGAAACAAGACATTATTACACCCCCCAAGATAGAATAACGTAAAAAAAAACGCAAAAACACTGGGCCGATTTTCGGACCGTAGGTAAATTTATTTCAATTATAATTACCATTACCCTATAATTAAAATCTTAATTATAATTACAAATTCAATAATTACAAAAATAACTATAACTACCATTTTAATACAAATATAACTATAACTACAATCACAAAAATAATAATAACAACAACAAAAATAATAATTACAAATCTAATTATAATTACTAAAAATATATTTATAATTATATTTTACTATACTAAATTTAGAAAAAAATAACACTATTAAAAATAATTAGAATTAACATTATTATTATTATTAAATTACCACTATTATTACCACTAATATTAAAATAAATTTATAATTAAACTAATTAATAATATCAAAATTAAAATTATTATTAAACAAAATTATATTTATAATTATAAATTATAATTACATTAAATGGTAAGAGGATCACAAATTCCCATATATTATTATAATTATAATAAATTTATTTTATATATATATTTATTTTATATATATTTAAATATATATATATAAATATTTAAATATTATTATTTTTATTTATTTTTATTTTAATTTCCCAAAATTATATTTTATATTTTAAATGATATTATTTAAATCCGAAAAATATATATATTTTTTTTTAAATAATATATATATATATAATAATTATTTTCTTTGGACATTAATAAATAAATAAACATCATAATAATTCGATATAAAAAATATTAAAACAAATATATTATTCTATAATATTTTATATTCTTTAATATTTTGCAAAAAAAAATCATATTCGTATATATTGTTTTAAAATCAAATAATATAATAAAATATATATTTATATCTTAATTATATTATTATTTTTCTTAATAATTTAATTCTAATATTATATTATATAATTTATTTTAAATATTTTTTAATATTATATTTATTATTTCTTCAATTTTTTTAAAAAAATATTCAATTTTTCTTTTTTCAATTCTTAGAAAAATATATATAAGAATCTTAATATTATATTTTTTTTTCCACATATTTTTCATTATTCTAAATATAAAAATAATATGCGGGCTACCATAGGTAAAATCACTAGGATCACCCCCCAAAATAATTTTTTATCTGAGATATTTCTAGTATACAATCCATCTCATTTTTTTTTTCAAAACTACTCTAACCCACCTCAAAATAATTTCCTTTGACACTACCCACCCCCCAAAATAATTTCTGAAAGATTGCAAATAAAATATTTGGTAGGGTTCCATTATTACTCAAAAATATTTTCCTTATTTCAAAATAATTTTGGAAATTATTTCAAGGTGGTTTAAAATGGTTTTGTATAATTGAAAAAAAAAAAACAAATAACATCACCTCAAAATAATTCGCAAAAAACCAACAAAATTATTTTGGGGATCACCCTACCTCTTCTCTCGAATACACCCAACAAGCACTAAATCACTTGGAGGTTGTGATATAAATCAAATAAATTATTTTTAAACCGACCCCCTTTCATACCCAAAAATTATTTTGGGGGTTATTCACTACTGAACCACTTATTATTTAGACCATCGATTTTTGGATAAAGAAATCTGAATCGACACCTTCCTACCCGACAAATTATTTTGGGGGTGGCAATACCACCAAACCACCCCAGAAAAAATAATATCCTAACCTAACAAAATTAACTTCAACTTAAATAATTCAATAATACTATATTAAATCAAATTAAATTAAATTAACCCAAACTATATCCAAATTACCTCAAAAAAATTAAATCCTAAGAATTATTATAAATTATTTACTAAATTATTTATTTTTTAGAACATCGATTTATCATCAATTTTTAGATAAAAAAACTTAAATCGATTCCTTTATTTTGGGGGTAGGATTATTACCAAACCACCCCAAAAAACAAAATAATCTAATCTTGAAAAATTCAATTTCCCCATAAAATAATTTTTATCCTAAATATATAATAATAATTTTATATAATTAGGATTTTATAAAATAATTTTATTAATTTAATTAAACAATTATTTTAAGGTACCTTCGGTTATTTGCTCAAAATTATTTCAAGATATTTCAACCTCTATAGGTAGAAAATTATTTTGTACCATCATCGAATTACGGTACATAAATTATTTTGCTATAGTTCTTATTTATTAATATTAATATAAAATTTATATTAAAAATTATAAAATAACAATATTTCATAATCAATCCCCCCCTCAAAATAATTTCCTAAAATAAAATACATAAAATATATTATATTATAATCGTTATATAAATCCAATTATTATTAAAAATATTAATTTTATACCATATATATAATTATTAATAATATATCCAATAATAAAATTAATAATAATTATATAATCAAATATAATTACGAAAAATAATATATATTTTTTTATATTTAAATATCATAATAATAATAATTTATAATAATCCATAACAATTTATAAATCCACTAGCTAACAATCTCCCACATTTTCATTTATCATTATTTATTATAATTGTTTATTTTTATTTCAAAATTCAACAAATAAATCATATAATTTTAAATAAATAAAAAAATATAATAATTTTTACCTTTATTCATTCTAAATCAACCCAAATACTTAAATTATCCCAAAATAGATTTAAAAAACATATTATAATATATTATATTTTTCCTCGACTGCGTACGCTAATGGGGTCTTCAGGCCAGGATAGCTCTGGTCTGCACTGGTGCAGGCGCCGGGTCAGGTTCAACGAGGTTCCGGCGAAGGTTCCGAAGGTTCCTGAGAAGGTCTGGGAAGGAGGTCTGGGAGGCTTGGTGCAAAGCCAGCTCAGGTTCAACAGGGTTCCAGAGAAGGTCCCAGAAAAGGTTCCGGAGAAGGTTCCAGGAAGCCTTGGTGCAAAGCCAAATCAAGCCCAACAGGGTTCTAGAGAAGGTTCCGGAAACGGTTCCGGAAAAGGCTCGAAGAAGGTTTCGGAGAAGGTCGGGGAGGCTTTGGTGCAGAGCCAGGTCAGGTTCAACAGGGTTCCGGAGGTCTGGGAGGGTTTGGTGCAGGGGTTCATCAGGGTTCCGGAGAAGGTTCCTTGGTGCACAGCCAGGTCAGGTTCACGGAGAAGGTCAAGTTCAACAGGGTTCCGGAGGAGGTTCCGGAGAAGGTGCCGAAGAAGTTTCCAGGAAGCCTTAGTGCCTTAGTGCAAAGCCAAGTCGGAGAAGACCTGGGAGGCTTTGGTGCAGAGCCAGGTCAAGTTCAACAGGGTTCCGTAGAAGGTTCCGGACAAGGTTCCGGGAGGCTTCGGTGCAGAGCCAGGTCAGGTTCAACAGGGTTCTGGAGAAGGTTTCGGAGAAGGTCTGGGAGGTTTTGGTGCAGAGTCTGGTCAGGTTCAACAGGGTTTCTGCAGAATATTCCGGCCGTGGCACAAAGCCAAGTCAGGTTCAACGGGCTCCGGGGAAGGTTGCAGAAGCCAAGCCAGGTGAGGTTCATTTAACTCACGGAAATCTAGCTGTGGTGTTTCCAGCGCCTGGCTCGCTGAAAGATTTATACAAGTAAAACGTTGTGGCTGTTGGGGATACCACCGAAGCTGATTTTATAATATTTTAAAATATATTGTAATATATTATAATATAGTATAAATAAACAAAATTATTAAAGAGCTACCTATATCTTTTTCCTTGCTTACATTATTGTCTCGAGTATTTTTTTTTTTTTAAATTCTATTTTTTTTTAAGGCTATACCGGCTATACGAAGCTAGATAAAAATATCAACAACAAATATATAATCAAACAAGTTCATTTTTCCTAAACCCTATAAATGAAACATTTATATGATATTGATAGATTTAAAATGATGAAAAAATAACAACAAATTGTTACGTGCCCTTATACCGCACCTAAATAAAAGACTCGATACGACCCTTCCAAAATATTTTCTCCATTGGTAAGGAGACACTTGAGCAACATCGATACGACTAAACCGCTTGACTACAATAAGATGTAGCAACCATAACAATACATAACAATAATACTAATTCTGTCTTTTTGAATCCATCACGAGGCAATAGTACGTGGCACGCCTGTTTCGCAATCATTTTCCCAAATGGAAAACAGCATGGTGCAACGCCAAACTAGTCAAAACGCAACGACTTTGTGACTTGGGAGTAAATACCAAAAAATATTCAAAGTCAACCGTCAAACCAACACTATATAATTCATCAAGAATAAATTTCTTCAAAAGCACAATATTTCCCCGCTTCTCGTGCTCTTAAAACATATTGCGGAGACATGTGTCGAAGTAACATTACGGATTGTCATGCTATGATCATATATGATCGCTAAATTGTCCCCTACTTTATATATGATATGTAGTAATCTCAATGTAATTTGTTTGTGATCTTGCTTTCAATATCTCAATCGCTCCGTTGCTTTGCATAATTATGTCAAACCTCTCAAAGAACCACTACAGTAATCACACTACATTTCCTATCACAAATAAAAGTCAAAAACAAAGTTTAAAAAATCTCGATTTTATAATGGCTAGTTAGCCAATCATTTCACATTTCTCTTCCCGGTGGCGGGGCAGATCTGCCAGCCCACTTCTAGCATGAGCAAATTTAAACGCATAGAAACTCTCACAGCAGCCAAGAATTCTCACAGTTTTTCACTGGCGTGGAAAAGGCACAAGTTGTCAAGTTGTCAGAAGTGCATCATTTCCACTGAGGTCATGGTTCCTCTCCAAGCCCTTTCCATATAATGTGAATCCTTGAGGCCTTGAGACATGGGTTCGGTTCAGCACCGAGCCACCAAGGCTTTGTGGACTAAAATGTACCTGGGGGATTCCCAAACTTCCAGGATCTCAATTCTAATGGCTTTGGGGGAATCAGCAGCAGCTTTTCTTTTTTTGGGGGGGAGGTTGAGGTCCGGAAGCTTGGGGCCCTACCATCAACCAACCTGGATACGGAAAATCACCACGCTTTGTTGAAAAGTTATTTATATAGATGGGAAGGCAATTTCCGTATCTATGTTCGTTGATGAGAGCAACCCGCCTGATCATAATCTGTTCAAAATCGCTGAGTCAAGGCAGTGCCCCAGACTTTCTGACGCCACGAGGAGTTCTGCAAGCTGGGCGAGGGGCAGAGGGGATGGTGCTATCATCAGCTGCCTGGTGGTCGAGACACTTGTCTGAAAGATGGGAACGCACTTGGGGAGTACTGTTATTCAAAATCATAGCAGTCAGTGTCAGCCGACCATTTCCGGATGGAAAGGCTGGAAACCCTGCAACCTTCAGAGACGATCATCGCATGTTTAGGATAGAAAACACGAGGACGGTGCAACCATAGTGGAAATCAACACCGATATCTACAACTATTTGATACAATTTGGATGGAAACCCAGCGCATCTTTGCAACCACCAACATCTTTCCGACACAGTCATAAAGACAACCACTGAGAGTCCGCTGCTTGCTGAACTGCCCATCACCAACACCATCATCAGAACTCCATGGCAAACATAAATCCTTTCGTCCTTTGGACTACTGCTCTGCTCTCAATATCTCTCAATCCAAGCTTCAATCCAAGAATCTTTGGGAGCAAAAAAGGCATCTCCAAAAGAGGCATTAGACCTTTGATATGCAAGAGCGGCATGTTGTGGAAAACGGTATGCCTGGATTGCCCGGGAAGAACAGTTTCCATTTGGATGTTTTTGTAGACACAGATTCTTCAGGCCCTTGCCGTGTCTTGGATTTGCATCCAGCGAGCGCCTTAGGCGAGTCCTGGAGTCAAGTATGACCAAATCTATCAATGGCGAACCTGGCAAAATGAGAGAACTTTGCATGTTCTGCTGTCGCAGCATTTTCCCGACAGGCGAAAATAGCTGGGGGGCCTCTCTCCAGGCTCTTCCGGCAAAAACGCTGGAATGGAAGCCTTTCCAATGCCAATCTAGATGATGCCGGATGTAGTGGCACCGGCACCCTGACCCATTGGGCAACATTTTTAATTTGCCCAATGAGCTGCCTAGCTGGGAACAGTTCATGCTTTCAAGCAAAAACACGACGTGGGGGGCACACCTTCCTCGCGAACCTCACGATGGCAAGGATCATTGGTGATATAACTCATGACGGAGATCTCTCAACATGCATTGCCGTCTGATCAACCGATCAAACTGCTTTAATGCATTTATTCGCACAAACTCACAGAATTTCAATGAAAATTTCCATTTATGCATGATGACTTTATCAATATATCAATATAATATAACCAATTAATTTGGCTGCTCAAAGAGGCCCTTTGTATCCCTTTGTAATTTGTCAGAGGTCCATTGCTGAGCTCACGACTTTTTGAAACCTCTCCACTAAACTCTGCGCGGAAGGCCTTTCTTTGTGGTTCACCTCAGCTCTCGGCACAGCTGAGGCGATGTAAAATGCATCCAAACATCTGGGATCTGCTTAATGGCCCTGAACAATAAACAAAGACTTGCTTCCAATATGGTGGGCTGAGGGATGATACACGGACAAATAGACAATGACATAACTGGAACACGCAAGCAAATCCGGAACACGTCGATATGTGATGGTGATCATGGCATATCATGGCCCAAGCCTTGCGGGGCAGTCCCCAATGATTTGGCGCTGTTGAGAGGCAGGGATGGTGATCATTTCCCTAACAAATAAAGGGCTGAGGAACCCTCAGGACTGTATAATGGTTGGGCTGTTGGATGGCTTGTTGGCCACACACAGGAAAATAAACTGACCAGCCAAAGAATATATTTTGTGCTGGATACCTAAGACTAGTTATGATCCATGTAAATCAGCTGAAGTCGGGTGATTAGTCGCATACACAAAGATAAACCAATAATTCCTTCCTCTTCCCATCAATACTGCCCAGAAACCCTTTTTAGCATTGGATCTTGTACTATTTATTATCTATTTATCTGGGAATCTCAAATAGGGGTATTAGTATAAGGAAGAAAAGGATCGCTATTAGGCATGGACAAAACAACAAATGAATCCATTAATGTAAACCCCTCATTAGTTATATAGTGTGCCCCCCAAATACTGATCGATTGCCGCTAAACTTCTAAATGGTACCATCCAATGAAACAACCCAGGAAATAAACTTCGTGTGAGGTCAGCATTAAGTTACCAAAAACCAAGTGGCTGCCCAGGCGGACTTCATGATTGAACGTAACGGGGCATGGCATTCGTTTTCCGTGGGCCTGGCCAAGAGCTGCCGAAGCTGGGGCTGAAGAGTAAGTGGACATGGTGACCACTAAATCAATTTATTTAGATATATAAGGTACACTATCGATATATGCATATATATATACTATATATATATGTGTGTGTATGTGTATATGTAAATTACATACGCACAGATGTATATATGTATAAATACGCATGCATACATGTATGCATGCATGTATGTATGCATGCATGCAAATGTGTAAATATATACACACATATATATATATGCATATGTTATGTATGTAAATAAATACGCATATATACACATATGCATGTATGTATGTATGTTTGTTTGTTATGCAAGTATGTTAGTAAGTAAGTAAGTATGTATGTATGTATTTATGTATGTATGTATGCATGTATGTATGCATGTATGTATGTAATGTATGTATGTAATGTATGTAATGTATGTAAAGTATGTAAAGTATGTTAAGTATACATACATACATACATACGTACATACATACATTACATACGTACGTACGTACGTACGTACATACATACATACATACATACTTTACATACTTTACATACTTTACATACATACATACATACATACATACATACATACATACATACTTTACATACAACATAGCATAACAAAACACAACAAAACATAACATACATAACTTTCAGAACTTACACTACATACATTACATACATTACATACAATACATAGATACTTACTTTACTTTACTTTACATGACATCACATTACGTTACATCGCATTACATTACATTACATATATTACATACTTAGATATATGTATATATATATCTATATATACACATAAAAATATTAAGGTATATATATGTATACATGCAAATATGTAAAGTAATTGTAGGTGCACGCACATAAAAAATGGATAATGATAATATTAGTAATTAGTAATTAGTAATTAGAAATCAGTAGCCAGTAATCACTTATTAGTAACTAGTAATTAGTAATTAGTAATTAGTAATTATTTTTAGTAGTAGTAGTAGTAGTAGTAGAGGTAGTAGAGGTAGTAGAGGTAGTAGTAGAGGTAGTGGTGGTGGTAGTAGTAGTAGTAGCAGTAGTAGTAGCAGTAGTAGTAGTAGTAGAGGTAGTAGAGGTAGTAGAGGTAGTAGAGGTAGTAGTAGAGGTAGTGGTGGTAGTAGTGGTGGTAGTAGTAGTAGTAGTAGTAGTAGTACTAGTAGTAGTAGTAGTAGTAGTAGTAGTAGTAGTGGTAGTGGTAGTGGTAGTGGTAGTGGTAGTGGTAGTGGTAGTGGTAGTGGTAGTAGTGGTGGTGGTGGTGGTAGTGGTGGTAGTGGTAGTCGTGGTAGTCGTGGTAGTCGTGGTAGTCGTGGTAGTCGTGGTAGTAGTGGTAGTGGTGGTAGTGGTGGTAGTGGTGGTAGTGGTGGTAGTGGTGGTAGTGGTGGTAGTGGTAGTAGTGGTAGTAGTGGTAGTAGTGGTAGTAGTCGTAGTAGTCGTAGTAGTCGTCGTAGTCGTCGTAGTCGTCGTAGTCGTCGTCGTCGTCGTAGTAGTAGTAGTAGGAGTAGTAGGAGTAGTAGGAGTAGTAGGAGTAGTAGGAGTAGTAGGAGTAGTAGTAGTAGGAGTAGTAGTAGTAGTAGTAGTAGAGGTAGTAGAGGTAGTAGAGGTAGTAGTAGAGGTAGTGGTGGTGGTAGTAGTAGTAGTAGTAGTAGCAGTAGTAGTAGCAGTAGTAGTAGTAGTAGTAGTAGTAGAGGTAGTAGAGGTAGTAGAGGTAGTAGAGGTAGTAGTAGAGGTAGTGGTGGTAGTAGTAGTAGTAGTAGTAGTCGTCGTAGTAGTAGTAGTAGTAATATCAAAATAGTTATATAATGTAGGAGCTAATCCCTTTCCACTAAAAAATGACCACCCCCCCCCGCCCCCACCCACTGAAACACTGGTGGAATGTATTCAAGCGCGTCGTCTTGGGGAGGTGAGTCAGTTTGGGGGGCATGATTGATTATCCACACTGCCACCGTGACCTACCTACGTGGCATCACCACTGTTGGATCTGTCCAGCTGTCGCCACACGACCACCAACACCACCTACCAACTACACTGCCAGATTGGGTTGGCCACTACCCAATGAGCCGTACCTACAGGCCCAACAACGACGCATCTATATGGCACGTGTCAGGGGATCCTTGCAGCAGCAAGGCCGACCCCTTCTGACAAACAACATGAGCATGGTCCGCTATGTGCGGGCCTGGGCCCACTGATTGATTATCCACTGATCACTGGGGATCATGACGTATGCCGGGTGCATGTGGTCCTTGAACCCATTTACCAGTACCAATCAAACGGAATGGGATGACCATGCCAAGCAAGATGCCAAGCAATGGCGAGTTGAATCAAATCAACCCGAAATCATGCTGTCCTGTTCAGGTCATGCTAGGTAGGGAAAAAGGATGAAGCAGCTACAGGTCCATACGACTTGCATAGCGCACTCTGTCAGACCCGCCTGGGCTCATTGCCCTTCAAATATTCCTTCAATACCTCAGCCAATGAGACTCATGATTGGCACCGCGGAGGCTTGTGAGCGGCACTGCTGATGCTTAGCCATTTGCTCCAAGAATTCAAGTTCGAAAAGAAAGCCATGTCAAGGGACTGAAGGTTTAATGAGGCTTTCTGACATTCCATGAGCCGAATTTATGACCCATCATCCATACCAGCCCCAATAAATTCATATATTCCAGTAAGCTGACATACCCATGGAACATGTTCCATTTATAGATCACATATCAAACATTGCTATTTTCCATGGCATTCCATGGCTACATTGCCAGAGGCTAAAACGCATCCCGAGTGGCCAGCTCTGGATCCTTTCCCAACTGATAGAAGGGAGCTTTTCCTGCGCTCATAAAGAACCTGGGCTAAGGGAGGCAGCAACACAGATACCTTCCCCAAACAAACATAGACCTTGAACATAGCCAATTTTTAGCGTAAACGAATCTTCCAACCCTCTAGGCATTTTTATATAGATATTTTTCGAAGGAAGTTTAGAAGTCAAACTTCCGACAATATGGACAGATGAAAAGCAGAGGTGGAGCAGGAGAATGGAGAAGAGAAGAGCAGAAGAGAGAAGATCAGAGAAGAGAAAGTCTCAGAAGAAAGAAGATCCAGGTGCCCGAAAAGGTAGGAAAGTCGCGAAACACATCGAAACACTGTGTTTTTCCAATGATTTGTGGCTCCAGAGGGTCGAAAAGTAGGCTTGCTAAAGCGGCGGGTGCGGAGCCCGCTGGGCAGATGAGAGATGAAAAATTGCACGCCGTTGTGGCGCGAAGAACATTTCGAAGTCAAAATGTACAAAACACACCATGTTCGGACCACTTTTGGAAGTTGAGATGTCGAAAAAGTGCACGCCGTTGTGGCGCGAAGCACATTTCGAAGTCAAAATGTTAAACGCACCAGGGGTTCGGACCACTTTTGGACGTTCAGATGTCGTTTCGCGTGGCAGGCGCAAGGAATTGTGCACCTAGTCAAAAGTGAGCAAAACGTGAGGGTTTTGTAGCATTTTCAACTACAACCACCACTACACTCCAATACACTACACTACAACTACAACTACACCTTCACTACATTACACTACACTCAATTACACTCAATTACACTACACTACACTACGCTACACTACATTCCACTACACTACACTACATTACACTACACGCCACTACACTACACTACATTACACTATACTACATTCCACTACACTAGACTACACTACACTACAAACTACACCACACCACACTACACTCAATTACGCTACACTACACTACACTCCACTACACTCCACTACATTCAATTACACTAAACTACACTACAATACACTACATTACACTACACTACACTACATTCCACTACACTACACTCAATTACCCTACACTACACTACATTACACAACAACTACAACTACAACAATACTATATTTACACTAGGCTACACTACACTACACTAATTACACTACACTACACTGAATGACACTGCACTACGCCTACAACTACAACTGTAACTACACTACATTACGCTACACTAATGACATTACACCACACTACACTACAGTACACTACATCACACTAACTACAACTACAACTACATAAGACTACACTACACTACACTAATTACATTACACTACACTGCACTACACTACACCACACTCCACTACACCTCGCTACACTACACTCCACTACAGTACACTACACTCAATTAGACTACACTACACTACACCACGCGACACCACACGACACGACACGACACTAGACTGCACTAACTACAACGACAACTACAACTACAACTGCAATACATTACATAACACTACACTACAATCACTACAACTACAACTACAACTACACTACGCTACACTAATTGCAGCACACCACGCTACACTACACACTACACTACACTACACTACGCTACAATACACTACACTAATTGCATTACACTACACTACACTACACTACACACTACACCACACCACACTACACTCAATTACGCTACACTACACTACCCTACCCCACATTGCATTACATTACATTACATTACGCTCATTGCACCACCACAAATGCAACTGCAACTACACTAACAGCTGCACTACACCACACTACATCCAGCAGTTGTGGGTGAGGTGACCGACCAGGTGACCACTGCAACCATTGCAGCCACTCCAAAAAACACAGTCCAACCACCTTTCGGTCCATCAGTGGATTCGCTCTGCCATCCGTGATTCACAACAACCAATCTCTCCTATAGGTTTCCTATTTTTGAAACTTCCGCCACCGCCTTGTGGGGTACTGCTGGTAGTGTAAACGCATCTTCCGACCCTCTGTGGCAGGGTCTATGTTAGTAGGAGGGGTGGTAATCTTGAACGTATGAACTTCATGTGACATAACATGCGGACCTTTCTACCTATATGAGGATGGCAAAAGCTCAACTAGACAGTGAACATTTGAAGCACGATGAGCCACTACCTCATTCTGATTTGTTGACATCTCGTATATCTTGTGGAAACGGGGGAAAACAGGCGCAGCAAAAGGATGTGTTGGACAGCGACATCTCAAAGCACCCGACACCACACCAAAATCTCCTGAGGTCTAGGCATGATCAGCGCAAAGGCATAGATATCCACCTTTTCCTTAAAAGGGGACCGGGAAATTGCAACCGCAGGATGTGGCCTCACCTACCTTTGCCCAAACACAGCAACCACTACTGCACTTGGACAATAACTCAACTTGCAGAAGCGCCCTGACATGCAGTCAAAAGGCTTGTAAGACCAAGGTGTTTCTAATGAAGATCCCTAGCAACCGCTGGGAAAAACATACCCCTGTGAGAAGCGAGTCGCCACCATTGGCGGCTAAAAGAAACAACCCACCAAATCGAGTTGGCAAGTGTGGGAGAGCATGTGGCAACAAATCATGTCCAAATGTTCTCGGCCCAATGAATCAGGAAGCCATGGCAACGACCCAATGAACTCCAAGTATCGTTGTAGGTCTGATGCCTCGGCCCCCAATGGACACACCTTCAAAGGTCCAAATAGATAAACGTAATGGTCACGATAAAACTGGTCAAGCAAGTCTATCCCCTACCCTGGGTCAGTATCGTATCAAATATCACCTAGTAAACGGAGGACTACTCGATACCGATGGTATCCAATGGTGTTGTTTTGTGCTTCTGCTCATGGCTGGTGGACATTTGGTGGGCTTGGGACACCCAAGCACACCTGGAATGCTCGGGTCGACTGGATTAGCACCATACAAGCGCGGGGATGACTTGGTGCTCGCTTGCACTGTGTTGGAACAATGATGCATTCAACGATATTCAATCATCAACACCCCATGATCTTTTAATCACTACACTACATGAATTCACTTTCTCCTGCTTGGTCTCGCCAATCTGAATACATTGACAGTCAAACTTCTGTTCCTGTTTTACCGGCCAACAGCTGAACCACCACAGCACTGTTGATTGCTCATGAGCCTGAGCCCCATAACCGTCGAAACATGTCGAAACCCTTGCAATTAGATGTAACTAGGCTTGTACCTGAGCAACTTGGGTTGCAAGTGGACGAGGGCTATGGCGGCTATGGAATTAGGCCACAGCAGATCAACTCAGATCAACTCAGTACCAGTGACCTCACGCACTCTGGCGCCATGTAGAGCCAGCTGCCAACGCCCCCAGTCATCTTGTAGACCTCCAATCTCTTTTTTGCTTAGGAAATGGGAGAACAAATCCAGTCATAACTAGTTACAACGCAGTTGTACATGGGAGAATAAATCCAGGGACCTACTAATCTGGTTGATTAACCACACTGTTAGGTGACATGTTTTAAACTCGCCACTACTTTTGGCCGCCCCATCAGTATGGGATGCAACAATTGGGCTTCCTAAAGCGTGGGCATTCGTCAGGTGTCGTCCCATCCCTGCAAAATGAACGGAAAGGGTCTTCTGATGGATCAGGGCACCATGGGAACCAATCCATTGATGTTCATGAGGGGAGGGGCATCGTGGAAGGGCATCTTAGGCCGTGAAGGATTTTGCCGATCAAAAACATCCAAGAGACGTCCGTTGCCACTGCCGCCCTTGGATGATCGAGCAACGTGATGGCGGCTGGCGGAGAAACATATTTTGGGGGGTGGCGTGCTTTCAATATGATGAATGGAAGGAACACATAATCTCTGACAATGCAATTGTCTCTTGGTTCCCCCATGGGTTTCTACTACATTCAGAATCACGTAGATATATTTTTTTAATGCCCCTAATATATACATGTAATACATTTTTTTGCTCACGATTTGGAAGATTGTTTGGTACCAGCTTGCCAGAACCAACAAATTTCAAGGGCAGGATGGTGCAGTGCTGAAACTTTAGAGCATGCAACTTTTACACAAAACGCACCGTGCAACTTCCCGAAGCTTCCCAGAAACAGCTGGCTGACACAGCAAGGCTCATCATCTTGCTGATGCCAAGATCAGCCACCTTGACCTCCAAATGCTTCGTCCTCAGTTTTTGTGGTCGGGAGAACCAGCATAGCACAACTTGAGAACACATTCCTCACATGTTGGTGAAAGTGAGCTGGTGGTGATTTGTGACCATCAACATGAATCGAAATGGTCAGCAACAAACACCAGGGTTTCTGACCATCTGAGCCTAGATGAGCCTAGAACCAGTAGCAACTGACCATGACATGTCCACAGCGCGACTGAGGCGCAGCAGGAGATTCAGTGGCTTTAAATCTCGATGCACAATGGGCTCAGCACCTCCTCAGCGATACCAGGTCCAGCCGGGTCCAGTTGGGAGCACGGTGAAACCACCCAGGATACGCATATGGTCCGGCAAATGTGACAACTTCGATGCCTCAAATTAGACTTTGAAACCTGGGGAACACATATTTCTTCTGTGCAAACCATTCTGTCAATGACTTGATACAGTACATCTTTATCCACAATGTTCTCGCCATGTCTTTAGTCTTTACTTACAGCCAGGAACTCCGTACTCAGACCCGGAACAAGGCAGTTTTGGCAGGTCACGAGTGTGTAGGAAACTCAAGGCTCTTCCAACAGCCTGGGCCGCACCACGGCAAAGGATGAGCAGTCATGGTCTAATCAATCAACTTCATGTGGTGTGCCACGAGATCGGAGATACCCTACTCCACTACTCAAACATACTTAAATAGACCATGTAAGTGGCGTGGATCACTATTGTAACTATGATGCCCATCACCTTCAGGTCGGATCAACATAGCAAAACTATGTTTGTTTCCCTGCCGATCCTAAACGCATCACAGGACCACCTCCTATAGCCCAGGCACCAAGCACCAGTCAACGATCTGGGTCAAAGGAGGTCGCCAGCGGTCCGTCTGGTTTTGCCTCCTCTTTGCCTGGGTTTTGCCGCAACGCATTCCATGATTTGCATGGAATTTAGTGGTCCTGAACAGCGCGTTCTCCTCATGTTTAGTTTAATGCAATGTTTTCCTCACTTTCCCACAATTTTGGTAAACACGGACTTGTAATGACCAAAAAACTACTTCCGAGATTACCAGTTGCCAAATGTTCCAGACATGATGCGGCAGTGGTTTGCCACCCCCTCAGAGGGGGTTCCGCTCCCAGGTATAGAATGAGATTGTCACAAGTATTGCGACTTTATGATAAACCCAAATTGCTTGACATCGCGTTACAACTGGCAGTCTGAGGTATGATAATGCAATTGTATATAGTCTAGTCAATCCACATGTATTTGCCAGCAACATATCGATTATGTTGTGAGAAATTCGCAGGCAATATCGCCCCCTAGGTCTCCCTCAAAGCAGCCCGGTCTTTGATGCCAAGCTGCGATATAATAGCGTTCCAAATCCCCGCCGGGCATGTATTCCGTGACACATATCACGGGAGAGTCCTGCATCCACCCGGAATCTGACCGAGGACATACACCAGAAATGAGGAGTAACTATGCCGTGAATGGGACACATATCCCTTTGCTGATCTTTGAGGTTGTGAACCAACCAGGTTGGATGCCGGTTCATCATATCGCCACGGGCACGGCTGGACCATCTGCAATCAGGCCTTGTCCAAGCATGCACCCAGAAACCTTGGCTGAAGTGCAAACCCAAGAGAAACAAACAACCTCCGTGATGATCCCCGGAACTACTAGTACAAAGTTGTTATCTTCTGACTTTCAGGGATATACAGTCGCAGTGCCCCCCAGTATCGTCCATCCATGCGTTTGGCAACTTTCAAGATCATCTGATCGTCATCTCACGTATCCTACGATTGTTTGAAGATTTTGAAGGGAATATTTACATGACCCCAACGTTTCATCATTCAATCCCTTGGTTTCCTATCAACAAAAATCCTTCCAATCGACATCAATCCACATCAATCCCATCAGGCCACATCAATCTACTGGATGTGGCTGCGCCCAAGAGGCAAAACTAAGTCTGGATGTCGAAGCGAAGACAAAAGTTCAATCTCATGAAGCAGTTCCTCCAAAAGTTCCTCCAACGCCCGAAGTTGTTTGATCTCCGTTGAGTACCCTTAAGTTTAACCAACAAAAATGGTGGTAAAATGGGGATAGCATGGGGCAATTTTACCCTTTGGCAATTTGTTATAGTTTGCGGACAACTGGAAAATCGCACATGTTTGAATGTATTAATAGGTAAATCATCGAACAGAATGGGTCATTTTTCATGGCTAACTTTTGAATTTCCCCACGGGTATCCATTGGATGTCTCAAACATGTCTGATGGAGATGTCTCTTGTACTGCGCCTGCCACACGAAACGCATCTTTTCAGATCCTGTTCAAACCTGCCACACATGTGCCCGAACGTGGTGTGGTTTTGACATTTCGACTTCGAAATGTGCAGCGCCACAACGCGTGCGTTGTTTGAACAGCTCAACTGCCAAAAGTGCTCCGGATCTGCATTGCTTTGTGCATTTCGACTTCGAAATGTGCTTCGCGCTAAAGTCGTCTGCGCTTTTTCAACAACTCAACTTCCAAAAGTGCTCCGACAATGAGGTGATTTTAACATTTTGGCTTCGACATGCGCGTCGTGCCAGAGCCGTGTGCTCTTTTGCAACAAGCTCTGGGCATGAGGTGTTTTCAACATTTTGACTTCGAAATGTGCTTCGCGCCACAGCGGCGGGCTCGCACACTTTGATCTTCTTTCTTCTTGCTCTCTCTCTTTTCCCACCACTGTTGCTGCATCTCTCCATATGTCGGAAGTTTGACTTCTAAACTTCCTTCGAAAATATGTACTTAGATGGGGAAGGGACCGTTCAGAGCAAACCCTTGGGCGTTTGCTTGGCAGCTCGACGGGCCTGGTTGACGTCGTGCATTTGCATCGGCCGGGAAGCTGTAATGGACTGGGCGCAAACAGCGAGAAGTTTGGGTTCGGCACCAGTTGAGGGGTTATTTGGCTCCAGTTAGATGTTGGGTTTCTATACTCAATATTCCTTGAAATGGTATTGACCAAGATTGACCAAGTTTCGGTAACATCAATTGGTGATTCTTAGATATTTAGTATAGTAGTATAGAACCATCGATTCTGGATGATTCCGGTAGGTTGATCACGTTGATCCATTCCATACTCATACTTGACAAAATTTAAGTTGTCTGGTGACACAGCCTGTGAATTGCCAGGCTGCATATTATGTAGTGTAATAGATTTGGTCTTCAGCAGGTCTTCTGAACATGCTCACTCTGGTATCGCCCCGTTCACCTATGCTTGGACATGCTTGGACAAACATCTTTGACACCTCATTGATCATTTCCAACAAAAACTATCTACATGAGTTGCTTGACGGAAGTGCACGGAACAGGGGTGCCCAAACAACAAGGCTCTGGTGGAAACATGAAACAATCTGAGCCCTTTCAGTCATTAGGCCCTTCTTTTGTTGGCTCTCATGCTCGCATTGGTACCAGCACCCCTATTGTGATTGCAAATTTTGCCCTCTGGGAAACCACAATGCAATGCAATGTAAAAACCCACCATTTGTATATACATTGAAAATGGCTATTTTCTATTTTCTAGCTATCTCTGAGCAACGAAGGAAACATGGGGTTGAATCCCCGAACCGTGGCTCCATATGAGCAGTGCCTGGTTGACCTTTTGTCATCAGTTCCCGTGGTTGTTGACCAAGGATGCCCAAATTGTGCATGATGATGATGATGATCATCATCATCATCAACAACATTCTCGCATAGCAAGCATCTCTTTTGCTTCCCCTTACGCCCGTTTTAATGCATACGCAATCATTTCTTGATATCTATTTATATACATGCATATCGTAGACAGATATGATAAACTGAACTAACCATCACGATCATCACCCAACAAAGGCTTTGTTCATTGCTCGCACCTGCTTGGATCGCTTGGATCCAGTCGATGAGGTCTTCCTCTCCAAGCAGGCTCTGTGGTGGCCACTTGGTGGGGAAAAACACCGTGAATTTTGAGGTGAGTTTAGCACCCAAAATGGATAGAACATTGAAATCACCGGGAAAATGTGCGGAAAAACCGAAAAACACAAGAAACAACTAATCATTACATCCGGGTTTTTCTTTCTATCTACAGTATTTGTTTGGAGACCCCTATTCACATATCTAGCACGATTCCAACCTGAAAGAAGGTTTGGGGTACTTTCCCGTACCAAGAACATTGATGAATTGATGGTGACGTCATGGTGAAGTCCTTGGGATTCATTGAGCTAGAACCTGTCATTCTTATATTCTTTGCAATTTATTTGCGCCATTTTGGAGGTGGGACCTCTCATTCGTGCCGTATTTGCAGCACTTTGGTACTTGACGCATTTTGGAATCAAGGCTGCTTACTTCTTTGCTTTTCTGCTTATTTGCTTTTTGAACCGTGCGTGCTCTTGCAGACAACATCGACGTGCACTACACGGACCACCAGAAACAACATCATCAGCAACAACAGCAACATCATGAAGCGCAGCCATGACAACAAAAGCAACCACAAGAACAAGAAGAAGAAGAAGAAGAAGAAGAAGGGCAACAGATGAATTGCAACCAAGACCGAGAACAACAAGAAAGACAAGAAGAGGAAGAAAGGACAAACCGAAGAAATTAGTTAAAAAGAAGGACAACCACAAGAGTTATGACACGGGCTTGAACAGAGAAAGTTGTTTTTTTTGTTTCTCTTTTTTTTGTGTGTGTTTTCTGGCGTAAAACCCTACTGGTACATTCTCTGTGCTGTTGGACTCACAACACAAGAGCAGCAAGGCAAAGACCCAACAAATGATCACAACAAGCACCGCAAGGCAATGACAAGAATCGCAAAGACGGCAGCAAAGGAATTCTTTTCGTTTTCCTTCGGGGTGGCCCCACAAAGCCTATAAGCCTGCACCTCTTGTAGCTATATGTATGACTGCTCACATAAGAGTTGACAATAACATAGATAATCTTGAAAGCCACTGCAAATCAAGAAATAGTAACATACCAATTGAAGTCAACACAACATGAATCAACATGATATCACAATTCAAAATTATCAATAATATGTTAATACAACACCATAATATATATATATGATCTGGTTTGCAGCTGCACGAGAGACCTTTCGCCTGCACAGAACACTTCAATCAAGAACAGTTGCGAGTACCCTGCCAGTGAGAGGCACCACTTCCACGCTGATAAGATCTACGCTCAGTCTACGCTGAAAATGACAGATTCCAGCTACAAATGTTGGGTTTTGCGCGCAGGTTTGCCGGAGTTTTGAACTGTTTTTTTAGTTGGATGTGCTTCATGTCTGCGTCCGCAGCCGTTTCATGCGTATGATTTAGAGAACAAATGAATTGGACATTGCAGCAGAAAACATATCTTTTTTCATTTTAAAGATGTATACATATATAATATATATAATATATATAATATATATATATATGTATGTATGTATGTATGTATATATATATGTATAGGTTTCAGGATGATCATGAAATGAAGGAACGAGTTTTGCTGTCATTGATTCCTCGGATGTATAAACATTCTGCCTTCCGGAGGCGAACAAACCTGTTATGTCAAGGAAGAATGGATTCGCCACGCGTGCCTGCTGTCTGCCATGTCATCATGCTTCGATTACCGGGTGTGTGCAAATTGGGAAAAGGATTGAAAAGATGGTGCCACAGCACAGGGAAGTCGCATTGATATGCATTGATGGCAATGTTTTGGATAAACGAGAACCCTGGTCTGAAGGCAACCATTCTATGTTTTCGCACTTACCGGAAACATGATTGAACATGTTCAAGACACGTTGCCACTAGGCCTAGGCCTAGGCCAAGCATTCCACAACAAGGACTGGCTGTTCCTGCAGCCCGACGCAGCGAAGAAATGAGTGGAAAACGTCAGGACGAGCGCTGAAAGCTGCAAGTGGTTGGACGCAGACCAGAGAGAACGTTATCAGCCCACCCACCCAACCCAACATCACAATTGAATACAATTGATTCATTAACGAGATTGAAGCTGTGTGAAATCTCGGTCAACCCCTATACGGTCAATCCAACATGTTGCAAGCACATGCAAGCACCATACGAAGGAGACGTTCCAGCTCCAAAAACGACCGTGCAAATCAGACCCTCACATGCCGCAAAGACCATGCAAGTGGAAGATTGGCAGATTCCAGCTCCAAAATTGCTGGAAACACAATGCAAACGACGCCTTCCCGTGCTGGAAATACCTGAATAAGCACAAATGAGCAACAAAAACAGCAAGGACGATGAAACGCAAACGCGTAAGAGAAACAAAGAAGCGAACCTAAAGATTCAGAAATAAACGCACAACAGAAAACCCCAGAAGCAGAAAAGCCGAAGCAAAAAGAAGAAACGCAGAGAAACGAAACGCTGCCAAATTGCGATCCACAAAAAACAACAGAAACGGAAAAACAATGAAAAAACATATCGCCAAAAAACGGCCCTTCATTTGGAATCTTCGGAACTATTTCTTCTACATCTTTCTTCTCTGCTTCTCGGGATGGTCATGGAACATCCGAGGGTACCCCGTGAAAACTAGGACCCCCTCAGGTGTCAGGCCTCACTGGGCCCTCGTCAGGTACTTGGACCTTGTGTCATGAATGGGGGAATGGTCCCTCAAAAAGCGACTTGAGTGGGGAACATGATGCGAAACCATGGCAAACCATGTGGTTTTGGGTGGCTTAAGTTTAAGACATACTTGATGCCTGAAGTTTTGGGAAGAAAAAAATAGGACATTACCATCATTCATCATCCATCCCGCCAGCTTTGAGGGGTTCCCAAACCCACCTTGACCCAACGAAACATTTGCCCCCTGGGTGCCAGGAACACATTTCATCACCACCTTCAGGGTGAAAAAGAAGGAGCAGAATCACAATGATCCCAAGGCATATTGGTGCGTACAGGGTACGTCTATCTGAGCCTTATATCTGATATTTTGACAATGGAACGCCAAGGCCATTTCTTTGATGAGATTTCACTGTCATTCACTGTCCAATTCATTTGCGATGTTGAATTTGCAGGTCCCCTGTTCTCATGGGGCACTCGTCTGGCGATCAGCTCTCATTGTGACATCGATTCGTTCTGTTCATGGGATCTTCGCCAACATCTCCAAGCTAGAATCGCATGTCAATGTGTATATAGTGCAGAAACGAAGTAAAGGGATACAAAATGAATCAAAATGGATCAAAATGGATCAAAATGGTACAAGCAATCTATGTACAGTGGCTCGAAAATGACACCCCATATTGATGGCACTGCGGTGAGGCTGGATCGAATGGGTTAAGGAATGCCATTGAGCCATTGAGCAGCATCGAATCTGAAATATAGCGGATCGTGCAGGGAAATTGGCAAATCGATGACCAACTGGCTAGAAAAAAACGGGCCTGCCCACAACTCGGGGCAATTGGGGGTTGATTTGGATTAGCCCCATCCTCCTCCAAACATCTTCGAACAAGACTGGCCAAGTGAACCTTAAAACGACTCATCTGACGCACCTGTGTTCCCTTCCATGTCGCAAGATGCAATGTGGACTTCAGGGTTCGGCTCAACCTGGGCAAAACTGAACCTGCAATGTGTGTGTGTGTGACTGTATGCGAGAGGTCTACAGTGGCCTGGCACAAGCTTTAAAAACCGCAGGCTATTCCAAGCTTCCGTTGACTTCGCTGAATGCGAGTGAGCTGCTCCTTCTCAATGCGAACGTCAGAGCTTTGCAATTTCCAGTGTGAGTCTGTGGCTTGAATCTGCAGCCTTGGAGGATGGAAACATCATGAAAAATAGGCAAATGAGCAGAGAAGTCACTGATTCAAAGCTGGCCCACCATTTGGGAAGGTCAAAATGATATTCATCCACTGCAGGAAGATGTGTAAACCACAGTAGAACCGTGTAGAACCAATACCGGTAGGTTTTGCGGATTGTTCAACCCATCCTCGGATAATGTAGTCGCCATTTCCAGTAAAAAACTGGACGTATCTGATTCATGTGTTGTACTGTGTTGTGAGTCACGACTCATTCTTGCAAGATTTTGCAAGGCTCACTGGGCCACCCCTTTCAATTTCAAAATATACTTTCACATTCGCACGCTCCTTTGCGCAACTTTCGCGAAAATATCCCGAGTCATTTTTAGATATTTTTCGTGCATGGTGCATCTCTCCAATACAGATCTATGATTGGTTTGTGATATCTACCCCCCTGACATCTATAATATCTATAATTGTTTGTGATATCCACCCCCTCGTGCGCTTTTCAGTGGCTGGGTTGTACCCAAATTATTATATATCTACCGCACCCTGGGCAAGAGCTCTTCCTAGACCATGCTGCTGCAGTGTGGCAAATGGGTCATTCTACAAAATGCCTTTGTTTTGTTGATGATGGATCAAAAGGGGAATGTTGGCTTGCTACAGTACCAAATTCACTGGTGTTTTCTTTCTCTGTCGCCAAAATACCAGTGATGCCATAACTTGCTGGGATGTGCCCCCAAAAATGCTACAACATGACCTTCGAGCCTTCATATGACAATCGATGCAAGGACCTATAGATCAATGCTGATATATTACTGAAATAGTCATGTAGGCTGCAAAGCGCAGTTGTGATCCTTGTGATTGTCATTCCAGTCCGCACGTGCCTGCTTCTTCGGCTAGCACCACTAGTGCAAGAGGCCTAGCCGGAGAGATTTCTGACTCCGCCAACAAGTGGGAGAACAAACAACCCTATCTTCGAATCTTCGAATACAAATCGGCCCCTTAAGGAACCACGTTTTTTGGCTGTAGAACTTGTGCACACTGCAAGTCCGTAAACTTAAATATGCTTCATGTGCTGCTTGCCCCTTCGCTTCGAACATATACGGATATCGTTGAAAACTACAGTGCTAGCCAAACGCGAGTTTCTTGAAATTAGTACGCGTATCAGACCATATCAAACATTCTCAAACCACTTTGATGATAGACATTCCTACGCTTTTCCCGACATTGGCCAATACTTACTGCATGGGCAACAACAAAAACACCACCAACAACAACGTAAACTACGTCATACAACAATATTGACTCAGTCAACTACTCATTAAGACCCACCAAAGAACAGGAAAATACAAACAAACTGCCCTCAGAATTGAGAGGCTTGCGAGAAAGGTCCATGCCCGACAAACACACGCAAATACTGTGTGTGCGTGTGTGAACCATCTGTATAGATGTAAAACTTCCTTTCTTTGCAGGGGGCATCGCTGTTGTTTTATATTGTCAATGTCTCCCGTGATTATATAATAATAATATAATATATATATATATTCTTCTCATCGTGTCAATTTGTCTTGTTGGTGTTTTTGCACGACGCTTTCCACATCACAATTTGATAAGACGTCTGAGCAAGTGTGTGTGCCCCTGCCCGAATTGCACAGAGCCAGCATTTACCTCTGGATACATACCTTCTCTGCTTGCTTGACTACAGTAGTTTTTACATGCTTTTTTATGCTTTTTCCTGCTGCATCTTCCCAATTTTTGGGAGCCCTGATGAAACATCAACATGTACGAAACAGTGCTGTATAAATCGGCCTAAGATGAACTTGCCTGGCGCCCCCACAGAAACTGTCACTGACCATGCCATCCTCGACACGTTAAACTTGAACCAGCGCCTGCTTTGCCATCTCCTCTCTGAGGGAGTGGTCCTGTGCAACCGCAAAGCAGCAACGTTTAGGAACTTTGGGGTGTCATGACGGTGTTGTGTTATGATCTTTCTGACTGCAAACTCTGGAAAACTCATTGGCCTTAGGGGCTCACATCTTCGTTGCCCCAGTTGCTTCCCCTGATCACAGGCCTCAGTAATAGACTCCTCTATCGTGGATGGGCTGGCACGAGCTGTCTCCTGGCAGCAAGTTGTTTTTATTTGGCTCCAACCCATGCCAAACCTATGAAACATACCATCATTCAAACCCAGCAGTCAAAAAGGACTATGTTAAATTGGATTCATTTAGGGTGGGGATGGACACATAGCAGTCATAGCATCAGAAAGTATGTCTTGAACCAACCAAACAGCTCCCCGTTGAGCGGCAGCACTCATGGCATAAGACGCCAACCCACCAAAGCTGGTCCTCAACCGTCACCGTCTTGGAAGGAATGCTCTTTGGAAGGAACTCCTCCCGTGACAGGGCATGGGATGATTCTCATGGAGCTTCCCAAAGCCACAGATTTGGGATGTTGAACTTGACCTCATCTTGGAGATGCCCCACCATAACCCACACCCATGTCAACCTCCAAAGCTAGAACACATCCCGCCGTAAAATGGCTTCCTCATTGACCACCGGATCTGGTAAAGCTGGAAACTGCGTCACGGAGACTTTGCCTTCCTCTGCCTCACAAAGCGGGCTTGGTGCCATAGACAGCTGCAAAATCATGGGGTCATGACCCTTTTACAGCTTGTTCTGAACATCTGTCCGCACACTTGGTAGCAATTCGATGCAGCAAAGAGACATCCGCTCCTAGAGCATCCTGTGCCGCGACACTGACAGGTGCTGCCTATCCCCATGACGTAAAAATAAAACATGGCAAGCAGTGCCGTAGGTTAAGGACACCTTGTGCAAAATATGATTACTCACAAAAAACAAAACCATTGAGGCACTTTCTTTCTGACAAAATGTCACGCTGCCAATATTGAGAGGTCACGAATCTGTGTTGTCCTTGAAGTCTGGACTGACATCAATGGAGCTGCTTGCGCAAAAGCCACTCGGGCCTGCAAAGCGAGCTACAACTTCGCCACCAAGGTTGTTGTAGTCTGACTGGACCAACCCTTTTTGGGGCGAATGTCAGTGGCCACAAACACTCCTGCCTAAATTATATGTATATATATATACACATACATATTATATAATTAAGTATGTATATATATATATATCCCCAAAACTTGCTGAGTATCATTTAGCTATCTCCTAAACATATCCTCAAATGGCAAGTTCCAACCGGAAACTCGTCCTCTCCAAACCCATGTCTACAATATGTGTCTACGGCATGTTGTCTACAGCATGTTGTCTGCGACATGTGTCTACAAAATGTCCCCCTCGGCGTTTTGCGGTTCAATAGTGTTCAATATCAATTTTCATCAAATTTCTAAGATGTCTGACCAACTACAAATGTCCCTCCCCTCCCCATTCCCCATGGGCCTTGGTCTTGTTCCGTGGTATTCTCCACAGAACTCACCTGCCAAAGGTGGACCCATGGTGGACCTATGGCCCTATGGTCGACGACCAGTTGAGCCTTGAAAATACATGAGCATATCGTAATCGTAACATATCCCCCATCCCATTCCGTTATACTATGTTATACTGGGTGCTTGGCAAATATTCCTGTGTGTTAATCCCCAATAAACCAGTTAGCGTAACCACCAGCTGGGCCTTGCGAGAGGAACGCGTCCCTTCTTCTGCACAGCACCAGAAAAACATATGCGCCGACGCGTCTGTTCCTTTGGAATGAGTAGCATCGGCTAATGGCTGCGGCTGCGGAATCCAACTATATATCCCCAAAAATGATGCAGGAATTTGGGCTCCATGTGATGGATTTTTTGCGCAGAATTATTGTTCTTTTCAATTGCAGGATATATGAATAGTAGACAAAACGGCGTGTCTGAGACAACCACCGGCTCCTTCCATCTGTGACGCTCCATTCACTACTTTCTCTTTTTGAGTTTGCCTGCATCTACGCTACGCATGCCCAGTTGGCTTGTTCTGGCGGAGCATCGGGCAGGAAATTCGAAGCATTTCTGACAATGTGCCTTCCACTTCCACTGCTCGACTCGCTGGAGCGCCCCTGTATGTCCTGTGCATCCATCTGGTCAAGTTATGTCAAATCCGATATAAGCACATATAAGCTACTATTGTTAAAAAAAACAATTTTCCCCTTCAAATCATGACTCCAATATGACTCCAATATTTCATCAGGATGATTTCATGAAATTTCTGCCACTTCAGATCTTTCCCAGCAGACTTTGTGCTGCAAAGTGGGGCACTCATGGCCACAAGGTTCCAATTGCCTGGTGCAGGGGGGTCCAGGATGACATACAAATAGGGCGGTTGAAAATTGCGGATAACATGGGTATGTATGGGAAAACACATGGGATGTAATGGGGATATGAGGAGATCAGTGGCATTCGAAGATCCGTAGAACTCGCAAACAAATATCTGATATTCATGATAAACACATATCATATATAGAGACAACCTCGATTTCCATGGTGAACAAGACTGGATTGTGTGAACGAAAGGCACACAAATTATGTGGTATCCCACAGTCGCTCCCACCTCGCGACAGTCGCTGCGATCCTGGCCGCGTGTAGGGCATCCTTTAGGGATACACGCATCCTTCGCAGATCTACTATGTTTGCCATACTTCGGGGCCTTTGTGGGATTATATATGTAGTTTACTGTAATGTTATGTTATGTCATGTGATGTTATGATATGTCATGTTATGTCATGTGATGTTATGTTATGTTATTTTATGTTATGTATGTACTATATATATATATCAGTATGAATGTATTCAACACCAGTATGTATGACATGTATATATATATATATGTATATTGTAATACATTGTAATAACATATGTAATTACACATCCATCCCTGCGGGGCTTTCACCGTCCAACGATTTTGATACAACCGCTGTGCCGCCACAATGCCGTGTCAATTTTGTTGATGAACAGGGCCTCATGTTCTTTTTTTCAAACTTTTGATGGTTGTGGTCCGGTTGTGGTAACCCGTCCACGGTTTTGCTTCCCAAAACGAGTCGGACATTTGCACGTCTTTTTGCACCCCAGAGTGTGGGCAGGCATTCTCCTGCTTCTTTCAGGGGATCTTTGTCATGAGTCATGAACTTCCCAACGCCACTGTTGGCTTCCCATGTATTGCCATCGTGCAAACCCAAGGTACAGCACAAATTACCAATAGCCCAGCGCCTCCAGGGTGTCGGGGCAGGAGCTTCTCCAGGCCTGAAACAGCGGGCAGTGGGATTGTCCTGCAAACCCTGGGGATCCATGGGTATTTTGGAGGCAAAGAAATCTGAATTCTCAACGGCAAATGGTTACAGTACATCTACATGTAATCTCTCTCTCTCTCTCTATATATATATATATCTATACCATCTACATCATCTATATTCTATATCATCGCAATCCTCATCATCGCCACCCTATAGACCCTTCAACTACTGCCCAGCACCATTTCATACCCTTTTTTTAACTGCACTTATATAGATCCCAAATGCCTTCTGCAAAATTCCAGGGCCCTTGTTGTTCCTAGCAATTGGCCTTCAACGTACATGGGAAAACATGGGAACATATCTATATTAATATGCTTCCAAATTATATGTTTCCATATGATTCTATATGATATCTATATCTATATGTTTCCATATTATATGTTTTCATATGGTTCTATATGGTACCTATATTAATATGTTTCCAAATTATATGTTTCCATATGGTTCTATATGATATCTATATCTATATATGTTTCCATATTATATGTTTCCATATGATTCCATATGGTTCTATATGATATCTACACACAATAGCCACGATGTGTGGGGAGACTACCCACTACTTCGATCTACTTGGCCACTATAGTGACTCCCTCAATCTATGGAGTCCTTGCTTGGACACCCCTCACTTTTGAAGCACTTAGACTTAGCGCTTACGGATTCTGAGTCTGGGTTGGAGCTGCTGGGATCTGATTTTCCCCGCAGTTTCAGGATCATTCAGCATCCTGTTTTCCAGCTGCCGATCTTGTGCCGGTGGCATGGAACCCAAGCGCAGGCACAGCGCTCAGTCTGGCTTCAAGCCTTCGAGCTGTTCATCACCTCAGCGTTCAAGCCGGTACATGGGGCAAAAGGGCAGCCGTCTGGTGTGCAAAGTTTCAAATCTAGAAGATCAATCACAGCATACCAGTAAAAACAGCACATGTTGAACCAACACAGCACACATGTATACATGTACACAGGATACATGCATATAAAATCACATAAATATATGTCCATACAGCGATATTTTATGCATATGATTGTGAGAAAATAACTAGAAAAAATAGAACATATATAAATAAAGAATCCACACACACAAACTGAAAGGAAACATCTGATCTCATGCTATGTAACTCAACGATTCAAAACCGATTGAAAACCCATTGCATCCGACAAAAACACTGCAGCCATGGATCACGGGAACTCAAAGTCCATCAGCTCTTCACTGGTCCCAGTCACTGCCTTTTGCAGTTCTGCCCATATCCTTAGGCTCGAGGGGAGTTCAAAAGTTGGGTCAGGATGTGAATTTCTGTATAATTAGAGGTTGGATGCTGAAATGATGTGAAACGTCGCATCCAGTTTCGGCCGCAATAAACCGCAAAATATTTCGTATATCTTTCGAGATCTTGGGGGCAGGTGTTCCAATTCCCAATTCAGCAGACCCAAAGAAGAAAAAACGTGCGGCAAACAATCTGAGGGTCCCACTGCGGGTCACACATCTTATCACTTTGACCTCTACTCGGCCAAGCAGCTCTTTCCGCTGCTGCAGGTCCAAGCGTTCCTGGTGCTGTCGCCTAGGCTCCAGCTGCCATGTGGAAATCTGGGTTGGCTATAGCCCCGGTTGGCAATCCTTTGCCATCCAGTGGCGTTTTTTACAGTTGGACCCGTGGGAGTGAATCCACTCCGGGCCATGCAGTTTTAAAAAACTCCCAACAAACGCATTCTACGGGAAATTATTCTTTGTGATCTTTGTGCCACATTACCACATTACCATAACCACTGTTCCAACAGCAACCTGCACCTGGTGCCCTGCACAGTTTATCTCAGCTGAGGCTAAATGGCAGAATCCGCTGGAAATCCCGGAGGTCTCGCAAGCGTTCACGTTGTTCTGCTTCAGCCCTGCGTAGGTTGGAGTGGGATGCTCAGCTTCTGATATATACACACATATATATAATTATATATATATATACAATTATATACATACATACGGTGTCATGGCCTCTCAGCCACCTCCAAAGTCATGACTGGAGCATGGAAGGCCGTAGAAGGCCATGGAAGGCTATGGAAGAGTTCGAGTGAAGCTGCAACGTTTCATGACCAGCCTCGGTTTGTCACACATCAAAGAATGGACCGACATTTAAGACCTATGCCTGGCCTACACTAGCCTTCAATTTCTTTTTGCAATATTAGCATCCTGCAAACGAATGCAACTGAACGTCTCCACGCTTGGGAATTCCTGACCTTTACTCGTCTGCAGTCCAACGTTTTCCTGGCCTGTTGGTCGCCTCTGTTGCAAAGTCTCGAGCAGCCTGCACCTGCAGCCATTGGTTTGGGGTGTGAAAGTCCGGTTCGAAACTATTGTGAATCAGGACAATACGAACAGGCAGTCGACGGGCAGTCGATCGGTTTGAAATGGCGATGCATCACCCCACTTATCTCGACTGGTGACTGGTACGGCTGAACAAACAGCTACAGTGGTCCTTTGGAAAACAGTGGCCGTTGTCGCAACGTTGCATCATAGAAGTTGGTTGTCAAAAAATCCTAGCAATCCAAGACTGAGACACTTCAAAATCAGGTGAAACCATTTACCATTCCTCCCAGCATCCAGCCGCGCCCTGTCTGGTTCAGGCCATGGCTTTCCCAAACCGGCACCAAGTCCACTTCCCCACCTCAACGAGCAGTCCTTCCTGCTTTGCTCGCGCTTCCTCTGTGTGCTTTGACCCAGCGCATGCGGCGGAAAGGTCACTTTCCGATTTCAAATGAATCCAACATCTCTGAACCAAAGGACATTTAGAGGCATCATTCATCATCATTCTATATAATCAAAAGGAATTTAATCGATAAATCATGTCTCAAGTCACCTGAATCATGTAGAGAAGGTACCTCAAGGTTGCCCTTTAAAATGATAAAATCAACTTTGAACGCATTTTTTCCCGCTTCCAACTTATATCCCAATAAAAAATCTTGAAATGCTTGGTGAATCCATGTGAATCCCCATTATATAAATCCCAATAAACATGGTAGCTTGAACCACCTTGAAGCACCATCCCCATGGCCGCCTTCACTTCCAACTTCAGCATCTGCCACTGCTCATGCTCCCAGGAAACCTTGGCGTGATAAGTTGGGCGTCTGGTTGGATCCCTATGGAAACCATTTGGACCAAAGATGACCAAAGTCATAAAGTCAATGGCGATGTCGAAGTATCTAAAGTTGATCATATTGTGCCGACAAACTCGGTTTTCACCTTCTGCGGAAGGAATGACAACCGCAGTTGGGGGCAACACAATGACTTAGATATGCTTCTGGAGGCTCGCTCGCGTAAAAAACACATCTCGATCATTTTGTGCTGTACCACTGTGTTTGTACTACAGTATATACATTATTAAATCATTATTAGGCATAACATGGCATAAACGTGTTAACTATAGCAACCAGCTCCAGGCGGAGCTGTGCGTGCCTGTTCTTGGGATGCCTGGACTTCTGCAGTGAGCACTCTGACAGAAGACGCCAAGTCCTTCATGGGATTGAGTTTAACTCCTTTTAATACGAGTACCCTGTACAAAGGATTCAGTTTCATATCCCAATCCAGGTCAGTTTTGCTCTGCCATTCAACTGCCACTGCACGCCCTGCCCTTCACCCCCAATGTTTTTGATTGTTATAGATATCCATTACCTGTTCTTTACATCCCTGCTGTTTCATGGTCATATCACGCTGGTTGAGTCCCCATCTAATAGACATTTTTCATTCATTTGTTTTCCATGCAAAGCTGATTAAATCATGTTCAATCAACACTTCAAACATGTCTCTGCACGTGTTTCCAATCTCTATCTATCTATCGATCTATCAATCTATCAACCCATTGACTTCCATGCATTTATCGATCTCTCTCTCTCTCTCTACAAAAAAAACTATGAAATTTCAAGTTCTATGTGAGAGCTGGGTCCCGTCCCAGCTCCTGCTTCTCCAGTTGGACCTCTTGCAGCTTCTCCTGCGTCTGCCGTTCGTGCCCCTGCGCCCGCTGCGCCACCTCTTCCTCTGTCTCACTAAGGTGCCTGCTGCTGGGAGGATGGGCTCACGGATGGGTGGACCTGGAACATAGCCAATCTTTGGTGGAAACTCATCTTCCAACCCCCAATTTGGCAAGGTCTATGTTAGTTCGTGGGGACATATAATTAACAATGGGAATTATATATACAGTATATGGAATTATATGGAATCATAATATTCAAAACTTGGTCATTGGGAGATTGGAGGTAATGATTATATATACATGGGATAATCGTGGGTGCTCAGCAAGATTATCATAAGTAAATGACCTAGTTCTAATTTGGGATCGATGCTAAGGATAGTAATGGTACAATACGAGTGGCAACTCGGGCTGTATGCTAATTTAATAAGTCTTGGGTTCTCCGGTTTATTATTGTTTTTTTTTTTACGCCACCAACTAAGCAGCTAGGCTAGAACCGCAATCTTGTATAAGTGGAAGGGGGCTACAATCCGATCTTGCTGCTCACAAAAGGTGGATAGAGACGATTACAGCAGGATTGCCACTAGATCCACTAGTAAAGGAATTGATGATCAGTCTCGGACTGCTACCTGTACTGGAAAAAAATGTGGGGACACCATATGGGTGTGTCCAAAAACTTCATACCCGTGATCGCCTCTCTGAATCCCATAGTTTTAGGAACATCCCAGCATTTCCCATTGAATTTAGCCTCGATTTTGCAGGATGTTGACAACATCATGGTTTCACCGTGGGTACTGCGCCTGGCCATTTGCTGCAAGTGCTCGGAGTGATGCAATCCTGCGTCAAGCCAGGGACGTTGAGTAACCAACTTTGGGATGAAATACTGAACACATGCAGTAGAGTAGTTGCAACCACAGACCAGGTCTGTAGGTGACTCAAAACGACTTAACGTGACTTAATATTGGTGACTCTACCATCCACAGGGCGAGGTTTGGGCGAAAGTGAAGCCACTTTCCCAGCGGGGGCACATACATATAATTCGGTTTGAGGCTCTGTTAGTTGAAAGCAAAGAAATTGATGGCTCTGTAGTTCTAGTAGTTGTATTTTTTAACAAATAGGTGGCCTAATGGAGCCATGACGAGGTCATCTTTTGTATCCAACCGTCATCCATTTTGGCATATTTTGGCACCCTGCTTTATTGCATTCCGTACCAGCACTGCCAAGGGTCTCTCTTCCATCTCAAAACGTTGTTCTTGACAGCTGGTCATGGCTTCTCGATGCTGTAGCTGCTGGCCCAACAAGGCCTGTGCCAAGGCGCCACATGTTAAAACCCCATTCAACACCCAATTGCCACCCATTCTTCCCAATCCACTAGTTGTGACAATTTTGAAGTTCGTTGTTTTCTCCTTTTTTCCGAAACATTTTTTTTTGATAACTTCACCGTTGGCTGTGCCATTCTCATCAACAACATCATTGAGTTCTCTGACAATTCATGTCATGTTTTCCACCCAAAACAACCATAATCTATTGTCCAACTCTTGTTTCTGTCTGATTCTACTTGCATCCTATTTCTGCAAAATATCGGTCGTACTATCCCGGATTTCCAACACATAGGACATAGGGCAGATGCCGATATGCCAAAATACCCATGGTAATAGTCATTCTGATAAAATATCAAAATACATACAGTAATATTAATATTTATTTAACAATAATTTAGCAATCTTTCAACAAATGCATGCATTTCAATAAATGAGGAAATAGTTACTTCTTTTTTGCCGGTATGTACCAAAGATGTACTAGAATGATGTACCAAATATATGCACTTGAAAAACACCATTTAAAACAATATGAGCACATAAGTGAATCAATGAATTCTTTTCCTGTACACACACACATATATATATATTTCTCATGATTTCTCATAGAAATCCCCTCAGAATTCAAAAAGTTTTACCTCCCCAAAAACCACGGCCGCAGCGAAGCGCCTCCTGCGCCTTTCGGCTCTCCTCCTCCACCGCGACGAAGTGGGCGCAGCGCGCCTCAGCGCTGAGCTCTTCGTGGAGGCAGCTGGACAGCGACCGTTCCTGGCGCCGGAAAATCATGGAAAACTGAGGAAAAATCCAGTTATGACATCAATGGCCATTTCAGGAACCTAAATTGGAGGTACCTACCATATATAAGGCCTATGTAAGGCCTATGTAAGGGAATATCCCAGCAAAATATTGCCTTATATGGTACAGTACCTCCATTTTAGGATCCTGAAATTCCCATTGAGAAAACTGAGGAAAAGTCCAGTTATGATATAAGTGACATGAGTAACATTGAGTAACTAACTAGCGAACGAACTAAGTGCACAGATAAATGAACAAACAGATGGATGGATGAAGGGATGGATAAGCAGAGATAAACAACATAGATTGGGATTTTAAACATACATTTCAACATTTCCATACATGTCCACCTGGGTACGGCTCAAAATTGATCGGCAATATTGGATCCCTCTTTCTTTTTCCATATTTCCGCAACATTGGACCGTTAGAATTCTGAAAACAGCCTATATCAAAATATCTGCCGGTTTTTTTTTTTGCGAGTCCGTTAATGCCTTGGCTTACCTCCCAACCCACTGACAGCCGATTTTGCGCAGGTGTGAAGGCCGAGTTTGTGGATTCAAACAGGATCCTGATAAGACTGTTGGGAGATAATTATCCAAGCATATCCAAGCCATAGCTGCAAAGAAGGATAGAACAGGTCAGACTAAATCGAGACCACCGGCAACAATCAGAGGTTCCGCGTCAGAACCTGGAGATAGACAACACAACTGTAATGTGAGATGAACGCACAAAGACACACGTCGATTCTGCCATGAAAACTAGTGCTAACACAAAAAGTGGGGATCGCTCTGATGGGTTGTGGTTGCTCGGCCCAAAACAGTACCGGCTCCTGAAGCTTGACGGCCTCCATCTCCTGTGCCGTCAAGGGGGTCATGGATGTAGATTGTGGAATATTGTGGATGGAATGTGGGGATGTAGGCAATGAAAACAGAGATGTCACTGATATCACCACAAATCCACAAACATGATAGTGAATATATAGATGTGAATAGTGGATAGATGTGGATAAGGGTTCTTTTTGCAAGGCATCTGCGTGCCTTTTGTGACTGCAAGAGCTCGGCTTGGAGACTTGAAACTGTCTGCTCCTTGGAGGGGGGGGCCAGGGACACCCCCAGCCTCGACGGCGAACAAATGCATAAATGTTACTGAATAGATCTGAATAGATCCAAATCACATCTCAAATGATACGGGGGTTGAGGCATCGCAATATTGACATCAATGGTCACCCGGGAATTGACTAGTTGACACACGCATGAACCAATAAATTGTATCATTTGTATTTTTGTTTTGATTTCCTTTGCTTTTCTTTTTGCGGCTGGTGCTGTTTTTGCACGGGCGGAAGTGATATCATTGGACCAAACCAGGCAGTACCAGCACTGGCAATTCTCATAGCTCTCCAAACCGACGAATTCCAAGACATGATTTCGCACACGTCTTGACATTTGACCCGCTGAAAACGACCTCGCGTCTGCCGAAGATATTGACCCCTGGTTCGCCCAAAATACCCATACCATCTCATACCCAACCAAGGATGAATAAGGCCAGACACCACCTGGAAGTGCTTCGTATTGAACTCCGCTTGTTCTTCCGCCAGCTTGGTGGCCAGGACGTTGCAACGTTCCTGCACCACCTGATGACGAAGCCGGGCATCCTGCAGCATGACGAGTTCTGCTGCAAGTTTGATGTGTCAAACTCCAGCAAGATGAAGTCTGACCCACGAAAACACAGGATATGGATAACTACCATGGATAAACAATGGATAAACCATGGGTCCACATCCCAATTGCAGGTTGTGATGACCATGTATTATCACCCAACTCCACGATATTCAACTGCTGTGGACTTAAGCAACTTCCAATCTCAATCTCGCCTTTGGAGCTGCAAGACTCTCCTTATAGCTCCCAATTCATATAAACATTTTTTTTGGTTATTACGGTATGACTGTATATATTATTATTTATTCATATAATCTCTATATATATGTAGTATACACACATTGAGTGTGTCCCACACACACATGTATATATATATATACATACATGTGTATATATAATATATACATACATATACACACACATATATATATACTTACATACATATATAATTATATATAGAATCTGCATATATCTGCATCTATTGTCCCAGCCTTCCATCCCTTCCGCTGCCCACCAGTCCTGCTGCATCTGCATCTCGGCCTCCTGATTGGCGAGTCGGGTCTCCATCACCCGCCGCTCCAACAGGGCGATCTGGGCTTCGAAGTCTCTCCTAGGCGACGAAGCGACCGTTTCGCCATGGGGGCTGTGTGAGGATGGGGGCTTCACCTTGAAAAATGGCCAGTTGAATGGAGAAAATGATTCATGATGGGAAAATGATGGTACTGTATGGTAATCCTGGTATAATCATGGTGATTTTGCGGGTGCTAGATTGTCGGGAAAACCAATCTCGTGCCTTGGCGTACCTTGGCGTACTGTAACTTCTAAGTGATGTGCAGCTTTCAATGCTAGAGCAACACACACAAACACAAACTGCAAAGTCATTGACATGATCAAGCGCAGTGCGCCCAATCAACAACATTACTTTTCTGTGCTTCTTTTGAACCAGTCACTCGCAGTGCTTCCAGCGCTTTTCATGTTCATCCTGCTTCTCCTGACTGGCCCGCATAATTGACGGCACCCTGTCTAGTGACTAGTGCCTTTCCACACATCGGGGATGGGGACCACAGAAAACTAGGAGAAACGCAGTGCCTTAGCTCACAACCCCCGACCATCATCAATCATCATCAGCAACTCCCAAACTGCTTGCTGGTTTCAACCCATCCCAACAAATTTCAATCATCTCAACCCAAAAGTGCTGGTAGATGCTGGTAGATGCTGCTAGTGTTGAACAAAATAAAATAAACATTTGAAATCACCAACCACCATAACCACCAGATTACCCACACAGGCGACGCTGTCCGATGCTGTCCTGCAATTCCGCGCGGAAGAGTCTGTCCTGCCGCGCCCGGCATTCCTCCAGGACTTCGCTTTCCAACTCCTCAGAAGGCACGGTGCTGCCAATAGTGTCGTGCTGGGAAATGGCACAAGGGGAACTAATGATAACCAGCTGTTGACAAGAAATGACAAGAAACTAAATTTCCTGAAATCCATGTGATGATCCCTTTTATATAATTTCTCGAAGTATGCAGCGAAATGCATTGTATTCAACGTCAAAACGGGGGGTGACACTACCATCATCATTGCAATTCTCGTGGGACCACTCTGACGACGATAAATATCATACGATGGCTTGCAAATACACTCCCTCCAATCCGGTTCAAATTCCCTTTCAGTGATTACCTACCGCTTGGTTAGGGATATTCCGACTTCGGGGCCTAGCCCTGGGTACCATCCAATTTTCCACCATGGATGATCATCCAAGTAGGTTTCAACAAGATTCAGCCAAACGTTCAGCTTGCTGACGACCTTAGATGATGTCTCCATACAAGTGGAGGCAGCTTGCATGCAACGACAAAACTTTCATTTTTAGGATGTACTTGAATGCAATGATATGCAATGATATGCAATGATAAACACAAGTTCAGTCCTAAGACAAATTACACACATTTATGGTGTGTGCTCGTTGTGCTGGCAAATTGAAGCACCACGCCACAACTGACTGATGCTTCATTCATATCAACTGGACCTGACCCCCGTCGTTCCCATGAAAGTATACTTACGAGCCATCCGGTCAGGTATAGCACAAGTCAATCAGCTCTAGATGCAAGCACCTCCAGTGCCAGTCCCCGACATGTTTGGATTCACCATGTTATCACTTGCCCTCTGTCATCTAATTCATCTATAGAGTATCTATAGAGTATCTATAGTATAACCTGGCATTGGTGAAAATCCCCTCTGTAGGTACTTTGCCCATCAAAAAATGGACCATGGGGCATTCTGCAAGAGCATTCCAAGGTGGTGGTGGATTCACCATCGCAAAGGCGTTCACCATGACCTTGGCGAAACGGCGAAACGGCCCACCTTCCTTGGCGGATGTCGGCGTTACGGTTGGGGAGAATCCTCGCCAAAGTTGAGCAAAATCGCTGAGGGGAAATCCAGTGGCTTATTGTGGCTTTGGGTTTTCCATCCCTTGTTTTTTTATGTTTTATTTTTGATAAATCTCCCTTGATTCAAAGATATTCCAAGCGGTAGTGCGCTGATTTCAGGGCTCAGAAACGCTTTCCATCTGCGCACCCGGTGGAGCTTGGGCGAACAGCGGCAGCACCGTCGTTGCTGGTGGATCTGCGGCGTCCATGGTTCCTGGTTCCTCAGATCACAGGGGTAGTTGCACATGATGTGCAAAACACAATGAGAATTTGAGAATGCTCGAGGGTCTTTGGCCCGGTAATCCAATTGACCCAAGTGGGACTATCAGACAATGGGACGGATTCCAAGGACGATGCAAAGAAACAGCGCATGCGCAAACACATGATACAACACATGAAATTCGTAAAAGCCGCAAAATACAACATATCAAACATCAATATACCGCATGCTTTACATCATAGATAGACAGGACACGCAGGCACCCAACTGCCCCAAACAATATTATGATGACACACATACACATACACATACACATTCACACACACACAACATGATAACTTATTTATCTATCCATTTATCTATCTGTCTGTCTATCTGTCTGTCTATCTATCTCCCTGTCTATCTATCTAATCCAATCTAATCGAATCCAATCTAATCCAATCTAATCGAATCTAGTCTTATCTTATCTATCCAATCTATCCAATCTATCTATCTACCTATCTACCTATCTACCTATCTATCTATCTATCCATCCATCCATCCATCCATCTAATCTATCTAATCTATCTAATCTATCTAATCTATCATCTAATCTACATGTCTAAACTATAAACCCGTCTATGTGCTATCTATCTATCTATCTATCTCTAATCGTCTCTATCTATCTATCTATCTATCTATCTATCTATCTATCTATCTATCTATCTGTCTGTCTGTCTGTCTGTCTGTCTATCTGTCTCTATCTATCTATCTGTCTCTATCCGTCTCTATCTGTCTCTATCTGTCTCTATCTGTCTCTATCTGTCTCTATCTGTCTGTCTCTATCTGTCTGTCTCTATCTGTCTGTCTCTATCTGTCTGTCTCTATCTGTCTGTCTCTATCTGTCTGTCTCTATCTGTCTGTCTCTATCTGTCTGTCTCTATCTGTCTGTCTCTATCTGTCTGTCTCTATCTGATCTGCCTCTCTATCTGCCTGTCTCTATCTGTCTGTCTCTATCTGTCTGTCTCTATCTGTCTGTCTCTATCTGTCTGTCTCTATCTGTCTGTCTCTATCTATCTGTCTCTATCTATCTGTCTCTATCTGTCTCTATCTGTCTCTATCTGTCTCTATCTGTCTCTATCTGTCTCTATCTGTCTCTATCTGTCTCTATCTGTCTCTATCTGTCTCTATCTGTCTCTATCTATCTCTATCTGTCTCTATCTATCTATCTATCTCTACCTATCTGTCTCTATCTATCTATCTATCTGTCTCTATCTATCTATCTATCTGTCTCTATCTATCTATCTATCTCTATCTATCTATCTATCTATCTGTCTCTATCTATCTATCTACCTATCTATCTATCTGTCTGTCTGTCTGTCTGTCTATCTGTCTCTATCTGTCTATCTGTCTCTATCTGTCTATCTGTCTCTATCTGTCTCTATCTATCTGTCTCTATCTGTCTCTATCTGTCTCTATCTGTCTCTATCTGTCTCTATCTGTCTCTATCTGTCTCTATCTGTCTCTATCTGTCTCTATCTGTCTCTATCTGTCTCTATCTATCTCTATCTGTCTCTATCTATCTATCTATCTATCTATCTATCTGTCTCTATCTATCTATCTATCTGTCTCTATCTATCTATCTATCTGTCTCTATCTATCTATCTATCTATCTATCTATCTGTCTCTATCTATCTATCTACCTATCTATCTATCTGTCTGTCTGTCTATCTGTCTCTATCTGTCTATCTGTCTCTATCTGTCTATCTGTCTCTATCTATCTATCTGTCTCTATCTATCTATCTGTCTCTATCTATCTATCTATCTGTCTCTATCTATCTATCTATCTCTATCTATCTATCTGTCTCTATCTATCTATCTACCTATCTATCTATCTGTCTGTCTGTCTGTCTGTCTATCTGTCTCTATCTGTCTCTATCTGTCTCTATCTATCTATCTGTCTCTATCTATCTATCTGTCTCTATCTATCTATCTGTCTATCTGTCTCTATCTATCTGTCTCTATCTGTCTCTATCTGTCTCTATCTGTCTCTATCTGTCTCTATCTGTCTCTATCTGTCTCTATCTGTCTCTATCTGTCTCTATCTGTCTCTATCTGTCTCTATCTATCTATCTCTATCTGTCTCTATCTGTCTCTATCTGTCTCTATCTGTCTCTATCTGTCTCTATCTGTCTCTATCTGTCTCTATCTGTCTCTATCTGTCTATCTATCTATCTATCTATCTATCTATAGACCCATTGTATGGGGTTGTCCCCATCGCTTATATATTTCTTTCCTCCACTTTGCTCAGTCGAACTTGGTCCCGGCATGCCTCAGGTGCGCAAAGCTCCGGGGCCGGACCCGGCGATGGCGGTTCTGGAGGCGCTTGGGGCAGCTCGGGAGGCGCCGGCGCAGCATCCTGAAGCTCGTGTGGATGTTTCAGGTATAATTAAGTGGTAAACCTTGGATGGGTAGCGCAATGTGGTTCAATGATCTCACTTTCATTTTGGTTGCCATGAGGGTGCATCGTGTAATTGTACACTACCCATCAAAGCAACATATTATCTAACGATTCTAAAGACATAGTCATGATGGGACCCCGTTCCAAAAGCCCGCTTCCCTGCGCACACTCACACTTTCATGAAATCTTGTTAAGCCCTCTGCCCCTGCTTAACATACTGCAGCTCAGAATAGGGCGTCTTGTATATGTGGATGTGTTATCCACGCAAGTCTAGGGATGTTAGATCTTAAGTCATCCGCACAAAAGTATCATTGGCATTTAGTGGCTGGGTGCCCCAAAAAAATGCCTCGCAATGGGGCACTCAACCGTTCCGAGCCAACAGATAGCAGCCTCTGTGGTCGAAATGGCTTTAAACTCCATTGGTCCATCTCCATTTGCGGCCGTGAAATGGGATTCTCCAGGCCAGGGTGACATCTACACAAGGCCTGAAAGCGAAGCATCTGGTTCTACTGGGGTAGTGACTTTAATCTTCAAGACTTGATAGACTTGGGATACAATAACCTATGGAAAAGAAGTGGGGGTAGTCATCCAAAGAAACTGCAAGTGGCTAGGAACCACGTTTCTGACATACTTCCGAGGCTCGACTGTTGGCCGGTCAGGCACCACTTCCAGTTCTGTTTCTGTGATTTGCGGTCTCAAGACCGATGCTCTTGAAATGCCATCGGCTGACCTCAAAAAAGAGACGGTCGTGGCAAGTGACCTGACCATCTGGCAGACTAGGTGTGTTTCAATCTTCGGCCCTTTTCAGAAGCCAGGTGTCCACATGAAGATTAGTGAGAAGTTCCAACAACCTGAACAAATGGTCATTTGAACGGGGACTCTCCCTACGGCCACAGACCGTCATGCGCCCCTTTGGCCTTTGAGTATCTTTGAGTATCCAGACTATCGAACCTTCGGGTCACAAAAATGGACCCACAACCAAACAGGCATGAGATCCTACCGTGGAATGCCAGATTTTTGCTCCTGCCTGCCACTGGTCCTCTGACTGCTGATGAGGTATTCATCATCCATGGGAGCCCTACGAGATATGCCCTCCAGTTATACCATTTGCAGGTCACTTCCCTTGGGAAAGATTGGGAAACACCATGGTTTTCCATATCTCCATTCCGAATTCCTCAGCTTCTGCCAGGCCACAGCGCCCATGCGCAACGGCGCAACGACTTGGCTTCGGCGCGCACACGGCGTGCCATGGCTTCACAAGCCGGATGGGGGACTTGGGGTCAAGATGGGTCAGGCCCAGGAACGATGAAGATACAGCTAAGATCAGCTAAGCTATTGAGGCTGTAGACCTTCCAAGGGTATGGCTAGATCGTTGAGGTTGCGATCATTTTGAGGTCTGGTAGCACCAACCTGAAGATGCAGGGACGGCGCTAGCACTAACTTTCCTGCCACACCCTACCGTTCTGTGAGTTGATATTGCGTTGATGTCACTGCCATGGCCAGGCAGTTGCCACTGTAGTGGAATGTCCTGATGAATGCCCATTATATAAATGGTTGGCCGGGGCGATGGCCCAAGTGCAGAGAAAGCTCTGCAGCCTTGCAGCGATGAAAGCGATGAACTCTCAAATAAGAGGAGCGCTGACATATCTGTGCTTGCATGAACAGTGCACATGTGTGTATCTTGGAAATTCGGGGATCCCAACACTTTGGGAGTGTTTTGTATGCTTTATTTCTCTCATTTTGGGGCAGACCCAAATGAGCAGTGGTGTGCGGAAATCCCTTGAAGCAGTTGGTTTGTGTCTGTGCATTTTATCTTCAAGGCATCTCCAAGTCTCCAAGGCAGTTACAGCAATTGCCTCTATTTGACCTATTTGGCACGTATGAACGTTTGGGGGAGGAGTGCTCAAGCTGCCATATAAATTGCATTTTTTCATTGCAGATCAAATACCATATTTTATGATATATCTTGCTTTTTGCTCCTGTCTGCCACAGGTCCCACATTTGCTGGTTCAAGATAATATCCCAATCTTTCTGTATTATATCCAACTTGTTGGCTGATTCAATGAAAATTATTCAAGCAATCATGTCGCCTAAAGATGTTTAAATTCACTATATTCACTTATGTATATAAATGCTGGTTACTTTCCAGTAGATTCAGTCGATTAAAATAGACACAGAACACCCTGCAATTTGTACATAGCTTTCCTCGGGAAACCATGGGTTTGAAATATCTTTTTGTGTCTCCTCCCACTCGACCAGGCGGCATGCTGCACCTGCCCAGATTCGCAGCTGGGCCTCCATGTTGGAGCCTGGGAGTCAGTAGATGCTAAAAGCCTGAGGCCCTGCAAACCGCAACACCTTCATTCGTGTAACATTTTGACCTGTGCCGCTGTGATGATATGTACTGGTGGTCCCACGAGCCGCGCAGCTTTAGTAGTGGGGTCATCGCCAGCAGTTTTTTTAAGAGGAAGGGTTCCATCTCTTAACGAATAGATCAATAGTACCCTGGGGTCAAAGGAGCCCCGGGCAACCTGCCCCGTGCAACCAATGGCAGCGGAGGGGGCCCAAGATCGTGAGCATATTGCCATAGCACACTATGGGCCACCCTAAAGGTCGTGACTTGTACGGTCACCCTTACATCTAGTACAAATCCAGGACAGGGCCCAATGATTTTTCATGACTGAACTGCTGAAGATCCATAAAAATCCATAAACATCATAACATCCTACATTCCTCAGGTGGTACAGTCGTCAGGAACACTGCTTACATGTCAATGGTGAAGGGCACAATCTCACTATGTCATAGGATTGGTCAGGAAACAAATCAAGGACACTTGTAGGACACTGACAGTAATTAGACAACCATATTTCATTCCCCATTTCGGTTAAGATACGGGGAAGTCCCGTAACATTTCCCCATGTCACCGACCCGAAAACGAAAGCCATTTGCCCAGTGGCTTGCTGTTCTCGCTGCTGGTGATCTGAAAAATCTCAGAAAACACATCTTTCATGGCCACCACAACAGTGGCGATAAGAAACCTAAGAAACACAGCACAACTATCATGGCCATCATTTCATCGAGCCAGCTCTGAGGTGGAAGCGTAGTTGCCCGTTTCTGGAGCTTTGAACAGGCCATAGAACCTCGGAAACGGGCATGAGCAGGGGTCATATGAAGCCAAACAAATAGGGTTTATCGGCAATGGCGTGGGTGTTCTGATATTCTTGGAGGCAACATTTTTGGCAATGCAACCTTCTGGATAAAGTAGCTACATCATGGCCGTATTGGCAAGTCATCCAATTGGGGTCATCCCAAATACAAATCAGCTACCGTAGGCGAGGTGGCAAGAAGTCATTCATTTGTATCTTGTCCATGGAGGGGGACATTCCTTACAGGGACACTCCTGGAACAATTTTCTTTCATTCTTCTTAATTCCAAATAATTCAATTTAATTCCCAATATAAAACTATTTTTCTTTCCAATACGTATTTTTCAGTAATATCATTTAGATTATTTATTTTTATGTTTGTTTTTTCTTTTAAATATTATTGATTGTTTTTTTTTTTTGGGGGGAATTTTTGGATTTGATTGTTTTTTAAACCCTAATTGTTGGATTGTGTTATTTTTTGTTTTAGATTTTCTTTGCATTTTTTTTGACTTTTTGAGTTTTGTTTTTTTGGCATGGATAGCAACTTTTAGGAGTAGCCCTGTTAGGAGTAGCCCAGGGCTCTTTCATGATTGTAGATGATGTCCCTATTGATGTGGACTTTCTATTGTCATGTTTGTTCACCAAAGGGTATTCAACCTACTCGTAGCATGGTGGTCACAAGCTTGTGTATAATAGGATGCTATGGGATACGGGTTCTTTAGGCCATTCACACCTTCCAAAGATGATAAACAACCAAACATAACCAAACAACTAACAACATTGGTTGACTTGTGATTAGGGGTGATGGTCGAGTTCCATCCCAGAACCTCATTGCCTGAGCTGCAAAAAAGCCTCAGCTGGGATCTGTCAGACTCCACGTCTTGAGTCAAGACGTCACCAGGGAAGACCCTGCGTCTATCTGCGTCTACTGGAATGGAGGGACAGCACGAAAATACAAAATATAAAGCATACGAAACTGTACATAATTCATTATCATGTGTTATATCAGTTACATCATGAATCCACTTTTGCATTAACCACGGCCTCGTCATACCTTTTCCTGGGCATCCCCGGCGTGCGCATTTCGCAGATCCACCGTCTTCCCATTGATGTTGTACCAAACCTGACAGCGCCATGAGGGTAGGATTTGACCTCTTGGGCTCCACAAAAATATCGCAGGGGGGAATTGCCATGGCATGCTATGGCCAATATTGGGAATCCACATGATCCGCATTGCTAATTGGGATTTCAGGGCGGCATTGGGCAGCAAGTGTATATCATAGGTTTGGTTTAAGGGAACTTTTCAGGAAACCACGTCATTCTACCATGAAAACGATTGAAAACGGCGCCCCGGCTCTGGCTTCTTTGTCTTCTTTTTCCCCGAACTTCTCCCAGGCGTCGGCCTGAAATTGGCCCAACTTTGAACATCAGGTGCTGAATTGACAGTGCCAACTTTCGTGGCTTTCATGGTGTTCCATTGTCAGCCCTTGGTATCAAGATGTATCAAGTCGTCCTATGACCTCTACTGATCCCTTTGCAAATATAATCAAGTGATCACGATCACCATTGGAATCTTACAAGTTTCATGGCCAGCAAGGAACTGCACAAATTGCGCATACAGTTGATGTGGGAAATACCGATACAGGAGTTGCTCCATGCAAAGGTCGCCTTTAAAATGGCGACGTGGAGAAGCACTTTCCGGAAATCACTTTGTGCTTGGCATGGCTTCAGACAAAGTTGGATCTCCAGTTTCTTCTTTAGCGATTTGGATGCCTGACCAAAAACCAATTGTCCAGTTATCACTCACAAGACTCACAAGAAGGCTTATGCAGTTAACTTAAACAAGCTTAAACCTCATATCAGTGAGATCGTCATTGGGAAAGTGAGGTGAAACTAACTCCACTTCGATCATCTTGGAACTGGGCATCCACCCTGCACATTCAAAGCTCAGCAGAAACTGCCTGGATGGTGGGACTGATCCCAAGTCTGGGTTTTGAACTTTGAACGGACACCTAAACACACACATACATAATATATGTATGTATATATGTCATATGTACATATTATATATATATGCATACATACATATTGATACTGGTACGTACTATGTTACTTCCTGGAGTGCGAATTGTGAGAGTTGACTCATTTTCTGTCAAGGCTAGTTGGAGATGGCGAACCATGGAAACATATGAGAAGTACTGGTGCATCAAGAGTACATTGTTGCTATAAGTTGCTATTGTACTGGAATCCGTCATTTTTCCCAGAAAACATCTCCTGTCTCCGGTAATTTTGCAGGTCAAACCCGAACTGTCAACATGATGTTCATCAGTAATTGATATTACAGTACTAGTACATAGTGAATGTGTAAACCCCATAATAAACCATCCCCAAGTCATCCCCAAGTCATCACCACCTTTTTGGGTGCTGTGTTTACGCTACCCCCCAAGTTTGGCCACCCCCCCGCCCCCCCAAGGCCCCGTTTGGCCCACCGCGTCAGGGCGAGATGTCGGAGAAGCCGCTCTGGGGCGTGGAGGGCTCCGAGGTGAGCCACGCTGGCAGGTCCGGCAGCGGCTCATCCACCACCGATGCCAGCGACCTGAGAAACCGCTGGGATGGGAATGGAGGGAGCACCATCTTGTATGTGCATATATATATATATATATTTATGTGTAGATATGTAGATATGTAGATATGTAGATATGTAGATATGCACATATCGTTGTAAATTCTATCGTTATATACATGTATAACTAACAAATTATATAACTACCTAACTACCGAACGAACTATAGAATACTATATTATATATATAATACATACACACATACACTCCCTCTCTCTATCTCTCTCTATGAGTGTGGTTATGGTTTCCACTTTTTATCCCAAAGCAAACAACCCTCCACAGAGAATAGGGGCTTCATTAGCCCAACGTGCGGGGCTCACTCTTTGGACGCAGCCCCCAGGATTCCCACCTGATGACATCATCAATTTCCAAGTCACTGCGCCCAGATCAATCTTTCCTCAACAACACATCCACCACCCAGGGCTCCAAAACAAATTCATGAATTATGACTATATGTTTAGTCAGTTCGAGGGGTCCCCCGGCCAGTGAGGTCGTTTCCAGATCGGCAAGGCCCAAGTGACAAGCTGGCGGTGTTGCTATCGCGGTCTCTACCCACCACCCGGCTGGAGTTGTGACTGGAGGCGTGAGGCGACACCTCCCAGGGACCCAGGTATGCCAGGTGTCACAAAGAAAGGGCAGAAAAGTGAGTCAAAAATCGCAATTATGCAGAATATATATACATATATATAATCATTATCATTATCATTATGATCATTATCATTATTATCATTATATTATTCTCAGTATTATCATTATCATCAGTAGTATCATTAGTATCAGTATTATCATTATTATCATTATTATCAGCATTATCAGCATTATCATCATCGTCATCGTCATCGTCATCGTCATCGTCATCATCATCATCATCATCATCATCTTCATCTACATCTATCTATATATATATATCAGTTTGTTAGTTACAAGAATAATCAAGTATCAGCAAAGCAGAGCTGACCTTGAATGAAACTGATGAAACATGCTGGAACCTCTGAGCTGCTGGACATCTGTCCAGTGGCTGCCAGGGGAGGTACCAAGACCTGAACATCAAGGACTTTCAGCACATATTTGATTTCATGCATGGTTGGATCGACGATATGACCCCCCCAACATTTTCTTGTCTATGTCACTGTCAAATCCTTGTTTCAAAATGATAAATTGCAACTACGATGAACATGACCCCAAATCAATACTGCCGGCCCATGTCGAGGTGCCATGTTCGGATTATATCCGTTATTATCCGTTTAATATCGTTAAGCCATGGTAAACATTGGTAAACCCTGTGACCTAATGAGGGGTCCCTGACATGTCAATGGCATAATGATTGCTGCCACGAGCTGACCATTAAATGATAAAGTGGTGTGCCCCTGGCCATGGCTGCATTCCTCACCTATGCTATCAGTGGAATTGTGGAACATACGCAAACAGAAACAAAATAGGCTTATCTGACGAAAAAGTAAGTATATCGCAGTAGTATGCGCTAGTTAGCACGTAGCTACAACGCATAACAATCATCAAAACGGGTATGGGGGATGATGAATGATGAGGATACTAACGTAATTGTACTCCAATCACATCGCAAACAAATTAAACATATCTTTTCCCAATTTGCAACTGCCCAGTTTCTGATCTTTCCTCTGCCAACATCACCGTGATGCTTTTCCCCGGAGAGGCGGTGGGGTTCACCACATATGCCCACTGTTTCATACCAGTTCAATCTATTTCAGGTGATCTGTCAAAACTTCAATCCCTCATCTCACGGATATTACTCGTGGGAGACCACTATCCCAAAGAGGTTGGACATACACGAATATCTGAAACCACTAAGACTAATTTGACATGTTTGACATGTTTTCTTTCAGGTGATCTTTGAACCCCTAAGCACCCCCTCCCAACAAAGGTCTTAAGATTGCGCGCGCACACACACAATATATACAGTATATATATATGTATATATTCATTTTTTCACATTAATAATACATGCTATATAATCTATTTATATGATATGCCACATCCACTTTTGGTGATGAATTCCCCATTTTTGCCGGTTGACCCAAGCGAAACCACCAACGGCACCAACGCACCGAGCAGCCGAAGGCATGTCGCCCTCGATGGGCAGCAGCTGGGGCAATTCCGCCCAAACCCGACGTAGCATCAGCTGCCTGCGAGGCACCACCGTGGACCCTGGAAAGTGGACAGTGGTGACACATGATAGGAACATGATAGGAAAATGATCACAGAATCAAGCATGTACTGATGGAAGTCATAGTAAGTCCAGGAAAATCGGCAGTTTCAGTCTTTTGTGTGACCCCTCTGCATCTCTAAGAAAACGGCGGAGCATTGTGGAACGCTTTGACACTCAAAGGAAGGGCAGTTGCAATTCGCCCAACCAACACTTGGAATACCACCAGCAATTTCCCGACATCGACAACCATCGGTATATAAACCAAAACATCGAACAGGGAATGTACAAAATGACATTACCTATACTGGAACTACATGTTTCATCATGTTGAGTGGATGCTGCACTATTTGGAGAAGGCCCATTTTACTCATGTTTGGAGTTCCCTCCCAGAGTCGTTCTTGTTCACGGCAAATGGTTACATCGTTGGGTTCCATCAACTTGATCAATCAACTTGGATGCAGGATGCACCAAAAACCTCGGGATTGACAAGCCTCCCAACTATTCAAGCTACCCTTCGGCAATATTGACACACCAGTGAGAAATCACCTATTATCAAGTTGGCATTTCAATTGGAAAAACATGGAGGATATTATTCACCCCGCTTCGCGTGGGGTAGCCGCCCACACCGCAGGTTTATTTCGGTCCGTGAGAGGGGCTAAGGGTGGTTTTCCCCCGTGGGGGCTCTTCAAGCTAAGAAGTTTCAATAAGAAATCCTTCCAAAACATTGTTTTTGACAGTGTTTTTCCAATGTTTCCAGTCAAACAGACGGTAATTTACACGTTTTTTGCCATAAAGGCAGTAAATCCTTCCAAAACATTGCTTTTGACAGTGTTTTTGTAATGTTTCCAGTCAAGCATACGGTAATTTACACGTTTTTTGCTATAACGTCAGTCCAAAACACTTGTTTTTGCAGTGTTTTCAATGCTCTGGCATCCAAAAACCCTGCAAAATCTTGCTATGTACAATGTTTTTTTCATTTTTGGCCGTTTTTCCATTGCCGGAAAGCTACCAAAATGACCCAAAATTCCATTTCAATACCCTCTTGCGCTCAGACACCCAAAAATCCTCGAAAAATGTCGAAAACACCACCGTATTCTGGTCTCGGTGCGAAACCGTTTTTGGGGTCTGGTCTCGGTGCGAAACCGTTTTTGGCCCCCCCCCCAGCTAAAGCTGATATAGCGACTGCTATATTAACAAATGTCATTGAGCATTTAGTGTTGCTGTTGCCCCCCAATAAGCACGCCTTCACCGCCAAAGCGGTGTGGGCAGATTTGCCATGTTTGATTGCCAAAGGATAGGGGGGTTTCTGCGGAAATGAAGGTCCCCGCGCCTGCATTCCCTAGCCCTGATACCATCTGGAGGGCGCTCGCTGCGCTCTCTGCGTTGGCGCCACCAAAGGGAAGGTGGCAGCCCGGGAGGACACATTCCGGCGCGTTCTTAACAGAAAAAAAACGGCAGAGAACAGGGCCGTTGAGCATCAAAATTGTTCAAACATAGTACATGGTTTCCCTGAACAACATATCTAAACCAAGTCTGGGGGTGTTAACTTGGTGTTTTCTTAACTCTTGTTTGCCTATTTGTATCCATTTGCAATTTAAAAAAAAACCTGGGTGTCGTGTTGGGGCCAACTCTAAGGTGCAATTGGGATGCAAGGGGCCTTTAGCATGAGAGTGACATCATGGGGCAAATCGTTCCCTGTCTATGTTTTATGAATGGTGCAGGCATCCTAGACCGGTCTCGTTCGCAGGAATGGACTGCTGATGGACATTTTGTTCAGGCTACGTCCTGGAGCCAAACGACCATCATCCAAAGAATCAGCTATCTTCACTGCCAAAATAACCAAACAAACAAATACACACACACACAAACGACAGGCACACACACACACATATATATATACCTAAACAGCCTTTCGTATGGTAAATTTCACGTTGAGGCCTGTTCGTATGGTAAATTGGAAGCTCGAGCAGAAAATCTCAATTCGACAAGAATTTCTCAATTCGTAGAGATTTTGCAAAACGTCAAGAAATCCCTGCCTGCCCAGCAGCTGTTGGGGATTAAGCAGCTTTTTTAGGGGAAATATCCCTTGGTAATGTGTGCGCTGGTGCGCGCCCATGATCTCTGGGCTTCCAATGCGGAGTGAGAAGGCCTGGCGGCATGTTTTTCTGAGTCTGGGGATGAAACAAGAAGATTTGCCACATCAATCAGTTGGCACTACGCATCAACAAACAGTGAACGTTGTAGGATTTCGTGGCTCGATCTTAGTTAGGGTCACTCGGTTTCACAAAAAGCCATGGTCGTTTTGGCCCGGGATAGCAGTGACAGTGGCAAACCTCATGAGGAGTGCCCCGTGATGAAGGAATGGATCAAACTAGAAGCTGTGGTTTCCAGGGCAACAGAGGGAAAAATAGCGTTGATGCATGGCAAGAACATCGATCGCACAACTGTTGCTAACAACTATGAGCTCTTGCTTCCATTGGTTGCAAACTATGGTACCTTGATTTGTTTGAATAGTTGATATGTTACAAAATTGAAAATGAAGTATTCGTCTTGGCATCTTTGATTTGAGAAAGAATATATATATCAAACACAGAATCTCATCTAAGGTATGCGTCCCAGTGTGTCTCTCTTGGAAGACCTGGTGGGTCGATTCCTTTACTTTTGCCGGCCACGTGGCAAGCCGCTACCAAAGAGTCCCCCGGCATAATTCTATGTTGGGAAGCCATTATGTTTTGCAGGCATCCATGTGGTACCAAAGGTTATTGCAAAACTACTTTGGTAGTTAGTAGTTATCAGTTATCCCATATGTTATGGGGTGTTCATTGCTTTCCAGATGGGATGTAACCGGTGATGCAAAGCTAATATATACGCTCATGCCCCTCTCAGGTGATGACATCAAGACTGAAGCATGGATCCTTCGCAATTTGGTGACAGTTCTAGCTGGGGCGGCCAGGCGACCTCATGTCCCAAGATGCCCTGAGATGAGAACGTTGTTTCGGGCTATTGGGATTGATGTCCCCGAAAATTTAGCCAAAGAAGAAGATGCTGGATCTTTGGCAGCATCCCGTCATTTTGGGGCCCATCGCTCAACTTCCACACGTATATATAAAGTATAAATCATAGAAATATGTTGTGCAACTCACCCCCAAACTTCCTGCCTGGATCAACAGTCAGAGCCCGCTTTTTAAGGATCTGGCGATGATGATGATTACATGGAGGATGCCGAGGGTGGCGAGTCCGAGGGTGAAATCGAATATGACCCTGTGGATACTGAGGCCAGTATCATATATGTTATATAATTCAAAACCGTTCATGTGTTCAACAAACATCTCAAAAACAAAATTACGGGATAGCAATTCGATTTGCATACTTTGCTAGGTACCGGACCAACCCTTGGCCTATGTTTCGGAGAAGATGGACCCCATGCCAGCTCCAGCCAAACCAATGGAGATCAAGCCCATGAAGTCCAGTGACTAGATTGCAATAATACCCACACCCTTTTCGTTACAAAAAGTTATATAGTATAAATATAGCCCCCTGCATGTCCAATGACTTCCGAGGCGTTGGGGGCAAACCGGATGCCCCTTCCATGCCTCGAAGCTCATCTCATGCCAGTCTTGACAGTCTTCACACTCCTCCGCCGAGAAGTGCCTAGGCTCATCACTTTTAGGACTGCGGACTTGAACTATGGCAGCATATGGCAGCTATGGGTTTGGGGTAGTTGGCATGTTATCTAAGGTACGATGGCTTCCCCATTGTCCATGTCTGTGGCCAAGCACTCACCCCATGTACCTATGAAGTGTGGCTACATCTGCTTGGATTGCCGGGAGTCGCATATCAATGTGGATAAGATTTTGGAAAGGAAGTGTGGTGTTCACATGTCAGGGCGTCACAGCATTTTAAAAAAAGCTGTGCAATGTATGAATTGCCATGACCTGGGTGACACCACTGAAGAATTTCTGAAGGGGGAATGCCCAGGTGCCAAACATTCCCCTGTCAGCAAAAAACTTGAGATCCCAGCTTCTTTGTCCACTGGCTGTGACGTGGAATCTCCTGCGGGGCTATGCAATCCCAGCAGTCCATCACCCAATGATGCGCTACGTCAGGCAGAGCAAGAGATGGAGAAACTCAACATTCTCAAGCAGTTGGAGAAGGAACGCTTGGAGCTTCAAAGGTTGCTGTCAGCATCGATGTCTGGAGGTATCAGTTTTTAGACTGCATTGTTGATCAAACTATGAATTCCAAGTTCTTGCAAACTGCTCTCAACTTGTTATACTGCTATATACTGTTATACTTTTAAAGTAGTCATTCCAGATTGCAGTTAATGACTGCACTTATTAAGGTGTGGATCAGCTTGACACTATGCCCATGGTCCCTGAAGAGATGGAATTCTACAGTGGGATTGGTGATGAGAAATCGGTCGGTGCTGAGAAATCTCCAATGACGATCCCTACAGTACCCCCTGTTCCTGATGGTGAAAATCCTTTTGAGGACACTGATGAACCAGAGGCCGATTTCTTTCATTGCGCAATGGATAGTAACATATGTGTGCGTGTGTGCATGCCCATCCCTCTAAATGTTTGGATAGTTTTAAATAGTGATGTCGCCCCCTCTGTGTAGTCTGGATACCTTAAAACATACCATCATGTTTATACTGTTTGCAGGCCAGCTCGATCAAGAATGAGGAGATGATCCCGGTGGAGAAGTTCGCTGGACATGCTGACCAGATTCTTCCTGCCTCTGAACCTGGGGATTTACCTGTTCCTGCCTCTAGCTCTGGGGTTGCCTCAGCAAAGCAGCATGAACAGCCTAGTGTTGAAGATAGCACACACGCCAAGCCACCCGTAGTTGACTCTGAGGATAGCCTTTCACCAGCTGAACAAAGCAAACTGTCAGGAAAAGCAGCACCAAAGCAACGTGGACGCCCTGCCAAGGCCAAGGGCAAGGCTAAGGCAAAGGCAGAAGGTAAGAAAAGAGAAAAAGCCAGCGCAAAGTCCAAGGCAAAGGCCAAGTCGAAACCAAAGACTTTGCCTGACACTGAACCAGCAAGCACATCGAAGCCCAAGAAGCGCACACGCGCAAAAGCAGGCAGCACTGAGGATGACAAGGCAGAAAGTGCAACTAGGAAGAAAAGCAAGAAGAGTGAAAAGATCGAAAAGAACACTAAGGCAACCGAGTCACTTGCAGAATGGTATGTGCGCACAGCACCCGCAGCTGCCCCCAAGAAAAAGGCGAGAAAGGCAAAGAAGGCAGCATCAAAGGCAAAGCTTGAGGCATCAGCAGACAAGGTAGATGACACCAACAGCACCAAGAACGACCCAGCACAGAAAACTTTGGAAGAGCTCCCCGCTGTTGTTCGCACAAAGCGCGCCCGCAAGTCCAAGCCCTCGGCCACTGATGCCTGCCCTTTGCCCGAACCTGAACATGACAGACACAGTGCAGCAGCAGATACAACCAGTGACAAAGGCACAGAAGCAAAGCAACGCAACGCCAGAAAGTCCGCAGCATACCGTCGCGCCCAGAAAGCAGCCGAAGACAATGGCATGAGCCCAGCTGATTGCGCAGCTGCGGGTAGGAAGGTTCTTTGTTTGAATGTGTGGTATATATTTTGGGTTGTTGATTATGTTATTTCACATTGTTTTGACATATGTGTGTGGCATATATTTTGGGTTGTTGGTTATATAATGGTTATATTATTTCATATTGTTTTGACATATGTGTATGTGTGCGCGCTTTGTGCCAGCCTGTCAAAACTTAGGCATATGCCGAGACCGAGTGAAATCTGAGATCTTTTGGCGGTTGATTTCTTTTTGGAGCTTTGGCCCCGATGTGAAAACGATTTCAAAACATGTCAGCACGAAACATGCACATCAACTTTGTTTGCTTCCAGGGGTCCTTGGAGCTCCAAGTGGGGGTGCACACGTGCAAAACATGTGTGAATCATGTTGACTGACATGTCCTGTGACATGACATGTCCTCTGGGTTCAGTATGGTCGAAGTACCTTACGGTCAGTTCATTTTGGGCTTTAGGCGGCTTGACGCAGTGGCCCTGTGATCTTGATGCCAAAAAATTGTGTGAAAGGGACGCGTGTTTATCAAATGCTTGGTTGAATCAGTTGGCACGCGGGTCAGCACGGGTGTTCCACTATTTCGATGCAACCCCCAACATTACATAAGATCTTATTTGTCCAGTTCGCCACGCCTTGTGCCAGGTGAAATGGGATGGAGAGTTCGGGCCAGTTTGAGAGGTGCCACCCTCCCTCTTGCCGACTTGATGCATCAGTGTGGGTGTGGTTGTGTTCTGAACTGTGCCATGGATGTGTGTGAAGTATTGTGAAGTTGTTGTCAACAATATCCCAGGGCATTTTCAATTGAGCACATAGCGATACTAGCCAGAGGGTAGCCCCGGGGTTTGCGCTCATGATCGACCGCTGCTTGGTGCGATCTTTGCTTCAAGTTCGTGCACCGAAGGTTGGAGTCCCAATGAACTCAACTCTGGAGATTTTGAAGTGTACATGCCCTGCAATGTGCATCTGATTTTGAAAGCATAGATTTTCCTCACATGAGTTCCGTTTTATCAGGTGCTAGTGGCGCTGGTGCCTGGCTTAATTATATATCAAATGTCTACTTGTGAGCACTATCAATCATGTCGTGTTTCATCATGATATATCCTAATCAAAATTCCACCGGCCATGAGGTGTTACTTCTCTCCTTCAACACCAAGCTGAGCTTCGATGACCCTGGGAAAAATTTTCACTTTACGGAAGTGTTCTCTGGACAGGGAGCGGTTTCCAAACGAATGCAAGGGGCCCAGTCCCGTATCATAAGTTTCCATTCAAAAATCAAATGTTTTTTTGGGTTGAAACACCATGTGCACATAAGAAGTCTATGAGGCATGAGCTTGGTTGCCGTACCGCATCCCTTGACCTGGAATATTCGGAACCACATATGAATTTCCTCAAGCCGGTGGGCTTTCTGACCCTCGGCCCCAATTTGTTTATCCTTCATATCGGATTTGTGTGCGGCTTGAAACAATGTAGGTAGATCTAAATCTGCATTTCATTTCATATCTGTTTATAATAGTGTGGGCCCCCCTTGACACATCCCAGGCTGGTCCTCTATACGGTCTTGAACCAGGATCGGCATGGGCTCACATTATGGGCACCAGTGTGCTCATCTTGGGGCCTGCCAGCACGATCGACGTCCCAGTGTTCATATGTAAATCCAATGGGTGGTTCCTACAACTTCGTTGAAGATGGAAATTGTATGGTGAGTCGGATTCTCACACGCACAAAGTTTCTCAGTGGTAGTCCTGTTTGGGTGGTAGAGTAGCCCAAGATTTCCCACGTGCAGTGTTTCCTTCTACTCTTATTTCCATGGCTGACTTAGGATGGTTTTATGCATCTTACTTATACTGAGTCGAAATGCATATTATCTGGTGGAGCAGCCAGCTCAATCGCTCCTCTACATGCACAAGAGGTGGCAATTCTTGGCCAACCGCGTAAGCTGGGCACCTTGAAATGATTAGAAGAGTTGGTATATTAATCGTTCACCAAAATATAGAGTTGAATCAACGTGAATCAAACCGAAACTTCTCTCTCTCTCTCTCTCTCCCCCAGTTGCCCTAAGGTCTATCAGACATTTTTCTGGATGCAACTCCACGGCTCCAGTTCACCCAAGAGGACTGTTGTGATGGGAAATTTGAGGACACTTGGTACCCTTGACAAAGGCAGACTTACAGCCAAAGAGCGGGTCAAGCGAACTAAAATCCGGACAACACGCACCCTAGCTAAAAGAACAGTGATAGTGAATTTTTAAGATGGACCCATGCTTCTTGCCAAAGCCTCTATAGTCATTATACCCGTTAGATTGTAATCTCCCAGCTCAGGTAAATATTTGGACAAGGGTGGCCGCTTTAGATTTGCTGGACGGAAAGCAGCCCTTCGCAGCACACAGTCCCTTAAATGAAACACACTCATGCCTAAAATGTGCACTATGCCCTGGATTGGCATCACTGAACTTGCGCATTACCCACTTGGTTCCCCATAATATGCCCCGCTGCCCCGCTGCCAAGGGCCTATCCATCGGGGCTTGGAGATGCAATTCATGCTGCTTACTTGGAGCAGCTGAAGGGGCCTCCGCATGGGGATCTTCGAGTTGAGAGAACCCCCACCAAAACAAAAGGGCCAGTTGAACTCTTTCAAGAGATGGAGCTTGGCGATTGCTGGTCGGATGCAAATTTGAAAGAATGTTTCGATTACCTCTACAATTGCCGTCACACCAGGACCTATATCACAATATACATGTGTTTGAAACTTAAACATGTGGCTTTACCTTCAAATTTTAATAGCTTGTCAAGATTTGTCAAGATTTTACAGTACCCTGAAGGATCCCATCTGAATGGCAAGAAGCTATGGAGCAATTTGCCCATGATTGGGTCCCTGCCTCAATCTGGGTCGACCATTTTGAATTGCACTGCGTACTCCTCAGCTGAGGCGGCTGTGGAAGGATGATGGTCTTTCGCAGTGTTTCTTCATCTGAGCGGTGGATAGTGGACCATTTTCCACTTCCCAATTGACTGCCATCTAATTCAAATGTGGCCACGGGGAACGGATTTCCACCAAATTTGGGATTTCCAGCAAAATCGGAGCTCTGATTGGAAAGAATCGGAGGATTTGTCAAATTTGACGACAAATTCGGACATGGGAGTGAAAAATGAAACCGCAATTCGACCGCAATTTTCCGCAATTCTCCCACAATTTTCCGCAATTCGGCGCAATTTTCAAAATCACGTAGTTTTGACTTAATTTGATCGGTTAGAACCCACAAAATGCTCCGATTATCGGAAAATGTTGGTTTGAAACTTGAAATTGCTCCGATTTTTGGAAAATTTTGGTTTGAAACTTGAAATTGCCCCGATTTTCGGAAAATTATGGTTAGAAACTTGAATTTATATGGTTTTTGTTTGATCAGATCTGTGCAGGATAGGTCAATTTAGAATCAAACACGAAAACCATAATTATCATACTTAGCAGTGGGTTCAAAAGGGGTTGAACTTGAGTTGGCGATCAGATCGCTACGCTCCAGCAATGGCGGGCAAGTCTTTGTCGTGTCAAACCCTTCAGTATGGGACTAACCTCTTGGGACACAATGCTGAAGGACCACCAGGTGACAGTAGAAACTTGGATGACCTGATCAAGGTACTTCGGTTGCACTATGTTTTCTATTAGTTGGACATGATTCGTTCCCCTCAAGCAAGCATCATTATACGCTCTCCAATGCAGGCACAGCATGCCAAGATTGCCAAGTTCAGACTTGCTTTAAAAGAACATCAACAACCCACACTTCGACGTGAGCCCTCCATGGTTGAAGGTGCCTGCAATGACAGTATATTCAGAATTATAAGATTATATAAGGATACTTCAAATTTCCCGTCCATTTTTTGGGATCTATACCCTGCCACTCTGGCCAGGTGCCCCGGTGATTGCCCATGCCGAGGGACACTTTGTGGCTGGCGAAACTGATCAGGAGGACACCTTGCCTGTGAAGGAACCAACGGGTGCTGGTGACAGACCCACCATTTCACGAGGAAAAGCTCATTCGTCTTTGTCTTTGGCCCCCACTGTTGTTTCATCACCCAGGGAGGAATTTTTCCAAGATGCCCAGTCTAGACACGATTCACCTTTGATTACAGAGGAAGAACAGAAACAAATTGAATATGAGACTGCTGTAGCCGCCCTGGGTGAGTCAGCTGCGGGCCTCCTTGAAGCAGCAGCATCTACGACATCATCGGGGGCAGCACGTGCCCCGGTGACCAACAAGGAGATGAGGGACAAGACATACTTTAGGAATCTTGGGTTTATGTAATGGTGCATAGTGCATAGGGATAGACTCATTGGTCACCATGCAGAATTGAACGTGTTCAGGTAATGTTCGCATGACTAATGTAAGGATGCGAAGATATTGTGCTTCAAAGAAGGCATCAGCTGAGATCATCAAGTTGTGGGCTACCAGGGATGGACGCACCTAGGCCTACTGGGAAATGCAATGTCACATACACAAACACTCATGTTGATTTCTTCTCCAACCTTCACACGCAGTGCTCATGTTGACCCACTTGTTTAGTTTAACAATCATTTGGGCGCCACTTGTTTCAGTGACTGTCTCAAACTCTAAGGTGACAAGATCCGTGAGTTGCTCTTGAAGAATGGTATGCAATTCCCGCCAGTCGAGCTGCAGATCCGCAAGTGGAAGTCCAAGGTGCACCGAAAAACTAAGGAAGGTAAATGGGTTACACGCCACTATCTTCAGCAAGCTGAGCATTGGTCCAAGACCTGTCCTTATTTGATCATACAGATTGGTGTTGGCTAATCTCTACTTGAATACTTGATGCTTTTTGTCAGCTTGCATCTAAACAATGTACCATGATGTACCATGTGCATCAAGAAATTGAAACCCGAGGAAGATGGTAGATGCTGCTTTCGAATGGGCTGCGAAACATTCGTTGCTCCGAACTTCTGAAATTCATGGTGAGCAGGAGGCAAAACTCATACTAGGTGATGGTTTTAGCTTCAATGAGGAAGAGGGAGAGGAGCAAAACCAAAGTATGAACATGACCTGTGAGGTGCCTCGTCTAAACAGGTTGATGTAATTAGTGCAAAACTGCATGGAATAAAGTTGGAATGGTCAAGACTTGTTTTCAACAAACCCCCGAACTGTTGACCAATATCTCCAACCACCCAGAAACCCTTTGCCACCCTGCTCACAGCATGAGGACCCTGATGGTGCGACTATGTCATCAGACGTGCCTGATTTGGCATCCAACGCGGAGGATCTGCTGAAACGTGGTCAAGGGGAAGGTGTGTCGCCTGGGGATCAAGCTGCAGCCAGCTCTGGAAGTTTCAAGTTTCTTTCAAGGCATTCAACCATGATGTAGACTATGGACATCTATAGACTGTAATCTGTTCATGCGATGACCAATCATCAGCCATATGATTTAACTGACATGGCTCCATGTTACCATCTAAGGTTGGTATTTCCGGCTGTGCAAGAGAATGCATCAGCTGTGGCCATTCTGCCACACTTCCTGGAAGTATGTGGTCGCAAGTTGGACAACTGCCATGGTGTGCAGGACACCCAAAAAATATAAGACGTGTATGAATATATTATATATTGTATGTCGAACATATTCAGTTTTAAAGGATTTATTGGAATTCCTTCCGTCTATCCACTCACAGGAGAAGCTGGCCAAGTGTGGCACTGTTCAAGCCACAGAGCGCTAACCTTAGGAAATTCGCCCAAACCCAGTATCATTCGCCATCTGTGTGTGTGTGTGTGTTTCACCTTTATCCCAGGCTGTCAAAGCAGATCGGAGTCCATATGAACACTTTGCAGAAGCTCTACCGATCCCTGGAAGCTCTGCAAGCAGAAGTCGCTGTTACTCGAACTGAAAGGCAGGTCAGCCAACCAATCCAAGCTACCTTCCAAATTCCAAATTTAGCCACTTTCAGTTTTTCTTAAGCCACTAATTTTGTTTCGGAAGGCCAGAGATTCGACAACAGATCTTGCAGCATTGTTCTGCATGCACCCGAGCTGATGTGGCCCTCAACAATTTGGTTGTTCGCTCCAGGACCCCCAGCCAGTGCCAGCGTACGTTCTGGACCATCCCATCAGTCATCAGCTGTCATCTCAAGCGCCTGCAGGAGTATGAAGGCGACAGCGAAAAAAGCTGAGGCGAAGCCTAAGGCAACTCCTAAGTCTAAGTCCCGGTCGGGTAAAAAGCCCAGGAAGGGAACAAAGAAATCTGCAGGAGCCGATGCTGCCTAAGCTTTAAGGTTTAGCAGCTGGGGGATTTTCATGTACCCGTGGAGTCTCAGCACAACTCGAAGGCAGTTGTGAGATTGAACGGATACCTCTTTTTGCTGTGGCCCTATGACCCAAGGAGGTGCCACCTTAGCTTAGCTGTAGGGGTTGTTGCAACCACAGCCAGCTTTGACAACTTGATCATCTTGAATCTCAAAAGTGTCAATGCTCCGTATTGTTTGTGGGCTTTCCCAATCTGGCTGATGCAACTCGGAAGTGAGTCCAATCTACAAGGCAGAAAGCTTGATGTTAAAATGAGTCCCCAGTTTCGGTCAGAATGAGAGCAACAATGCATGGGAAGAATTCATCTTTTCAGTCATGTGGACAAATCCCCTTACGCAGGTTCCTCGCGTGCTGACATCATTCCCTATCGTTTCAATGGCAAAGGCCAGGCTTTATGTGATATTTGAATATATTTGAGATCCAAACACCTGAGAAAGAGTACCCTGATTACCCATTTGGCCTTCGTCTGCAACATGTGCGCAAGGCTTCCACGAGGACGAAGACGCTGACCTGGCGGACGAGCTTCTTGTTGGCTTTGAAGAAGGTGTCCCTTGTTTGAAATTTCATTCTTGAATATTGGCAGAAACAAACGTGTTTTTCCAGGTTCCAGCGAATCTTGTGTTGGCTAGTGCAGGTACCATGTACTTGGGATTAACATACATTGGTTCCAGTGGGGTTCTGAATCTTAGGCAGAGTCAGCAGCACGTGTTGTTCGACTAGCGAAAGTTGCCAACAACCGGCTGAAGAAACATGGTCCCTTGGCTACACAGAAACAATCATTCAACTGCATTCTGCATTCCTATCAAGATCGATAGACTCCCTTTTCACTTATACTTATATCTCAATTCTCCAGCCCCTAAGGTTTAGCAGACCCCCTCTTGTCCAAGATGGCGAAATGTGGGAAAACGAAGCTGGATTCATATCTGCCGAAACTTGCACAAAACTGTGAAGAAATTCGACAAGGTGATCCCGGTTGAAATTTCCACGGTTAGAACTTCTGTGAGGCTTTCAAGACGGAGACCCCAGAAGGTTCCCATAGATTACCCAATTCTTCGTTTCTCAGATTGGGTAGAATGCATCTTCAACTTTGGAGGTCACTTCTTCCTGGGGGGCCAGAGCTTGGATCATGCCGACGAATTTCGTGGTGTGTTGAGTGACTTTTGGGACAAGTTCCATGCTTCAGAGCCAGATTTTGGCCTTCCTAAATCCCAGTGGGGTGAATGCATACCCATAGCCCTTCATGGCGATGAAGGTCGAGGTCGACAGAAACAGCCAGTGTTGGTAATGGCGGCCCAGACCATCATTCCCCTGTTCACCAACAAGTCCAACATGGGTGGGCCTCCAGCCACATATGTTTATCAAAAATGTTGGCATTATTTTGAACATATTTGTAGTAGTATGGTGAAGTAGGATATTGGATGTTGAACTTTTTATCCTGCATCCTTTGTGGATCCAAGGCCATCTCCGTGCAGTCGCTTGCTCTACACCATCCTCCCAGCGCCCTATACCCAGGGAACCTTGAACGATCTTCTGCGCTCCTGGGTGGAAGACCTGAACAAGCTGGCCGAAGATGGGATTACCGTAGTTGGACAACAAAATGATACATATTTGTTCAAACGATCTTATTTTCAGGGCTCCATAGTATGCTAGAACTCCAAACTGTGTAGATGTTCATCGCTTGCATCCATCCAACCTTAGGTTCTTTGGAAGGGGAGAGTCCACAAATTTCGGTTTATCGTAGTCTCCATCAAGGGCGATTGGCCGTGGCTACGAGCTTCGTGTGGTTTGGCCAATGGGTACAACTGCACAGACAAGTGCCATAGGTGTGTGCTCAAGGACCTTCAGTGGCATAACTTAGGCACAACTGTTCCAGAAAGTTTTCAAACCTGATTCATTCTGTTGCACCCCGAAATCTGGTATTTTTTTAATTACATGATCGTGATCTAGTGTGATACGAAAGGTTTGTTCAAACCAAGGACTGGTGGGACTTGAAAGGTTCTGTGAAGCGACTTCGGCCTTCGGATGTGAACCCACGTCCATACAAGGCTCAAAACCCGTCTCCGCTGCGAGACTTGTTATTTTTGAATGGAAACCCGAAATACATCCGCGTTGATCCAGCCCATACCTTTGCCATTGACGGAATTGGGAAGGATTACTATGCTAGCTCAGTGATCCTCCTCATGATGAGTGGTTGGTTTGGGAATGGGAATACTGATCTCAAGTTCAACAATGCTTACTCGCGTTTCATGGCTTTCTGCGATGCCACTGGAAAAAGCACCAGCATCCATGAGTTCAGCTACAAGACCTTCAAGCTAAAGGTTGGATCGTTTCTATTCTGCACCCCATTTTAGCGCCCAAGGGACGACATCTTAAGTTTCTGGTTAATGATGGAATTAACATTCAATTTCACCACATGTTATCTTCAATCTCCAAAGAGCCCAGGCTTCGTGGATTCCCGAGGGGCCTTGGCAAAGGGCATGACGCTGCAGTTGTGGGGGCCTGGTTAAACGAAGAGCTCCGGCAAATCGATGTGGCCTCAGCAGACACTCGCATCTGTCAAAGCTGCATCTGAAGACCATTTTATTCTTTCTTTAGCCTTTTTGACTTTCCTGCACTTCCACAGCTTATCCCTCTGAGCCTGACATTATTTTTACTTTGATACCCCCATGCCTTCCTATGCGCTTGAGGCACCAGAGTTTCGTGACATGCTGGCGGTGCTCAAATGGAGCTGCACCGCAATCAACAGGTTTTGGAGAACCATCTATGGCAGCTGGATTTGGCTACCCCAAGATGTTGCAACACAGGTAGTGTCAGATGGCTGGGCTTTCCTTGAATCTTGGAACACTGATTTGGAGCATACAGACTTTAAAATTGCCCAAGCCGATGACAAATGCGTACAAATGTTTAAATGACAAATTTGAACATGGAAAGTTTGAACATGGGGTGATCATACCTTTTTTACAATGGTCCTCAACATCCTTACTTTTTTTAGTGGTTCTCAAATCTTGACCATAAGGATGGATACTCTACATTGGCATCACTCACAGCCAAAGCTTGGATTCTTGGATACCAGATCCGCCCTAAGTTGCACATGATGGCACACTTGTTGTTTCTCGACTTCTTCAAACATTTTGTTTGTGGGTTTGGCTTTGGTACGCCCAAAACATGTGGAAACCAAAATGGTGGTGCTTTTTGGGTGTGACGCAATCTGAGGCTGGACATGCAAACCGTCTTAGCATGTGGCGCTCAACACGTATTAAATTGCTCAGTCCACAGCACGTGGACTGACGAGGATTTTATTGGGAGGATCTCCCGGATAAGCCGGAGATCTCATGTGCTCACTGCAGCTAGAAATACGTTGCAAAGAGCTTTGGGGCACTATCGCCGTCAGTTTGGGTCATTCTTCGATCCAGTGTACTTGCGCGATTCTTAGGGCCGCACTTGGAAAAACAGCGACCAAGGTGAAGATGAGGGATGTGATGTGCTGCATCAGCTGTGCGTTGCCGCGGCTTTTGGGATTTTGGGATGTTGGAGAGAGAAGGGACAACCCCCAGATAATCTATTTATTCACAAACCCCATCAAACCCATGTCACATGGTGCAATGTTCCAACAAGTTCAAACTCATACCACCAAATCGACAGTTTTTTTTGGATTCGTAGCTTTTTTGGGGAAACGACATGATTTTAATACATCGACAAGAAAAATATTCGTATGGTAAAAAAACATGACAAATGGTCCTTTAGGTATATATATTTACATATCTGTCATGCGCACGATAAGCATGTAAGGTTACACAAGATTACACAAGTACCTCCAAAGCAACACAACAGTGAACCCCAAGCATCAGCTTGACTATACATTGGAAATGCATGGAAACAGTTACCCAATGTGCGCCTTTTGCACCAGTCCGAGCGGTTGAGCTCCGTTGCACAGCCATGTCGTATCATTACCTTGGAGGCTATGACCGCATGCAAATGAATCAATGAAGTGACCGTTGGAGCATGGGTGGAAAGTGGGCACCCCCGGCATCAAAATGCTGGCTCAAGACTGGATATGGCTAACATCTGTGACCCCACACCTATCTTGATCCGACATGTGTTGGGGGGTGCCGACAAAGGTCAGCCGTATGGTTCAAAACAGAAATTCAACCAGCAAGCTTCCGGCACTCCAGGACACCACAGGCACCCGCACTGTTGCTACAGGAATCATCCTGAGAACATGGATAGATAGCCTTAGAGGATGTTGTCGCAAACTTTTCTCGTAGAAACTTAGTTGGATTCCAACATGCCTCGAGTTCAATAGGAGAACAGGAGTGGTGGCTTCTAATTTGGTGGGATATAACATGACTACACCCAGTCGGGAAAGACAGCACACCGTCTGTTTGAAAACAAATCACGATGGCACGCTGCTCATTCAGGAAGTCACAGAAGTCAGTGCAAAATTATGCAAATCAGCATGGGACGCTGTGTGCCAGCAATCATCTATTTCGTTTAATGTTCGGTGTTTTTTATGGCTCTAAAATTAGGAATCATATTGTGGACGATTTGTTGAAAATGATTTTGAATGATTTTTGAATGATTATGTTGGAATTATGCAGTCATTCTTTTAGGTTATTTTGAATGATTTTGTTAAAAACGCAGTGGGACGCAAGTTTCACCACAACTACAGTCAAAGTGAAGCGACCAACCAAGGATACAGGTGCGACCCCTTGTGGCGCAGGCAGCTCGGTAGTGGGAAGGTAAGCAGCAGCAACAGCAGCAGCAGGACCAGCAGAACCAGCAGCAGTAGCGGCAGTAGTAGCAGCAGCAGCAGCAGCGACAAGACAAGACAAGGCAAGACAACTCACGTATTTCCGGCGACTGGCGATACCCCGGCGATACCCTAAAGTGGAAAAAAGGAACCCCTCGCCACCAATCCCCCTCATCATTTCAACGCAACCACATCTCCAAATTTCAAAAGGGGAAACCCAACACAATCCAATTCCCAATGGAACTGACACATTAGGGAAATTCCGAACCTACAAGAACGCAGGTAAAAATATCAATGTTCCAAACCATGTCTTCCAAAACACCAGCTGGACGCAGCACGCACCGACTTCCAGAAATCTGTCCCCCCAACTAATTGCAACAAAGCAAGTGAACGCATTGAGTTTCCAAATGGGGTGTAACCGGTGCAGCTGGGGACCCCCACCCACGCAGGCTGTGCTAGGAACCTTCATCGTGGCCAGGTCAAAGACCCAAATGTGGCCAGGTGAAAACTACCCATATGCCACCTATAGCAGGGGATGGGTAGGATTTCTTTTGCTCCTAAAATGTTACAACCCCATTTGCGAGCAGAAAGGCGAGGTCATCATTGAATTGCTATTGCCTGTCTCCTTCTTCTCATTTGGTATAGTGACTATCTTCACCCAGACCATTGTCCATGGAAATTGGACGCCTTCCCCTCAACGGGAAAAATGTTGGCACCACAAGATATGACGGCCTCTTATGGGAAAAGAAAGGCTCTTATGATTTGTGTCAAATGGTGTCACGTTCAGGCCCCTTGTTGAGCAACTGCTTTGGTCTCTCTCCCGAGATTGCTGGCTATCCTGGACATTGCGCCACTGAAACTATGGGACATGACATCTTCCTCGTTAATCCCTGCATATTGGGAGTACAGGGCCACAATCTCAAGCATTCATCATCTATCCATCTCACACGGGCCATCGAACATATCAGGTTAATATCGATAATGGACAATGGACATGCTATCCGTATTGGAAAGTGGAACGATAGTTCTTGCATATCAAATATCACATCTTCAACTGATGGGATCTGATGGGGGCATATGGGTACAGCCTAAATATTCTGCAATTGGATTGGCTTCTCCCATGATACCCTCTGGTAATTTAACATAGCTATTGAAAATCACCATTTATAGTGGATTTTCCAATTAAAAATGGTGATTTCCAATAGCTATGTTAAATTACCAGAGGGTATCCCATTAAATCCCCATGTGTGATGACACCCATCAGTAGCAGCACCTCGGCGCAAATGGCGTGCGAGCACGCCGTTTCGGCCAGAAAAGCGGCAATGTTGGGCGGGCCTGCCGCACTGAAAGCTATGGAAGTCCAGCCCTGAAAAGTCCTGATGGAACATCCAATGAAAAAAACTATATATATATATATATTCAGTATGTAAAAATTGGATTGACCCCAGCCAGTAGAAAATGTAGAAAGTAGGATGGATGGACATGTTGCGCAACGGACTAAAATGGGGATGTGTCACCAACTCAAAAATGATAACATCCACTGGTCGGTTCTACACTCACATGTTAACAAAACACCTACGGATTGTTGATAACATCTACCGGCAAAGAATCTGCTGATTGTTCCGTGGGTTTGTCAAAAAATAGGATGCCCCTACTCTTTAGTGGCTCACAATTTTCCGGATTAAAATGACTCTTTGGCTCTATTTAGGGTTATACCCCAGTCTCAGTGTCATGCCTTTTATGCCGATTGCAGAGTTGTCTCAGTGTCGCCGGGCGCCCGAGCGCCGCATGATGCGCCGTGCAAACGACGAATTTGGCGCGCTGGCTCCGAGAAAGTATGATGCTTCCTCCCATAATGTTTATCCAGTTGGAGGATTCCAACGTTAAAAAACATACTGTTATTAAACTGAAATGTTTTGATGTAGATATACAAATACTGATAGTGATGTTTGTTGTATGCATAGAGATAGTATGCTATAATTTCGTAATTTAATCTAATTTAATACAATACGATATAACTGATATAACTTTGATATATGGGAACCGACAGAATTATGGAAAAATGGTCCAACTTTGACAGGCGTCGCTTGTCTCCGTTTCGTTCAATAATTAGATTTTCCTCTTAAGGGTTCAGGTTTTCCCGGATGTGATCTGAACCCAGGTTTTTGTGGTCCGCGAAAATTGCTTAAACGCAATGGTACACGGATTAAAAAAGGTCAATCACTGATGAAGGTCAATGCCAAAAATAACGAAATAAATTTGTAAAGACTGCTGGAAACTAGTGGAACAATGCTGAAATAGATTGGACACTTGCTTACAAAAAGAGAGGGGCTTGTTGCCAGCGCTGGAAAGTAGGCTTTCCTCATGTTCTTGTATCCTTTGGGAAATGGTCATAATCAAATAGGATGTTTAAAAGGAGGAGGCTTGACCCAGAAAAAAAAACACATATTCAGCTGTAAAATGCACTCCTTTAGACACAATGGTAGTCATTAGGTTCAAAATGTGGCAAATTCCAAGAAGAAACTCCACCCTAGAAGAGCAAACAGGATATATCTCCACTTTGAAACATTAGGTGCAACCGAATATGTATGTAATATCAAATGCAAAATTACAGTGGATAAGTTCAGGTCATGTACTTCTCGTAAACAATAGTTATCCTTCTTTTTGTGTGGCAAACATCATGAAAATTGGAAATAAATAAATAATAATAATAATAAAATATATATATATATTATATTATATTGTTTTGAATTCTAGGGATACACTACTGTCATGTTTCCATCTAATCGTGGTACAATACCACATTCTTTTGAAAAAAATGAGCCGTCTTTGAAACACAACCTTAATTCATCTACAAGGCCTATTTCAGTTAGAAAATTAAGGAAACTCCCTGGTGTTTTCAAACAGGTGTGGAAGTAGATAACAATGTTGAATGAGTTTGAGCTGTGCAGCGCAGCAGTTTTTTTACTCTTGCCTTGCGCGTAAATGACCAAAAGCAACAGGACAATTAGAAGCGCGCGTTGGCGCCATCACCAGGAAGCCTTTGAAATTTGGTGTGTTTTGAAGCAACTGTTTGAGTCTCATAGGGTTTTGAATGGAAGGGTGATGAGAAAAGTAGAGGTTGGTGGGTTCTTGAAGAAAACTAAGCATGTTGCGTAGCCAACGTTGTGAAGGGCGGCCTCTTGTTGTCTTTTGTGTTGCAGCAATACGATCCCTGTAGGCTAAGCTAAAAATGACGTGATGATATGGATCGTCCGGCGGAGTGGCCAACACTTCAAGTAAAATTTCCGTTTGTTGTTTAAGGACTACTTGAGACGCTGTGGTTGGTTTACCTGCCCTCTGCCAAACCGTAAAGTTAGAAACTCTTGAAATATAGGAAGCTGGTATTCCTAAAACCCTACGAAGGAGTCGAAAGTAATAGCCGTCGATTAATTTAAAATGTTTGTGCGCAAGCGTCAGACAGTTCAACCCATAGGTCAAAGAAGACACAACTACTGAGTGGAAAATACAAAGCTTCGTTGTTTATGGGAGCCGGCTGTTCCAAACTAGTCTAATGGATTGGAGCGCTGTCCGAGCTATTGAAAAACGTGCGGCTATAGCTGTTTCGGTAGGGTGATCCCATGTAACGACCGAGCCTAAATATTTCACACTGGTTGTGATTGGGACAGGTTGACCGTTGGCGA